AGGACCGACCAGTACGGCGGCAGCTTCGAGAACCGTTCCCGCCTGCTCGTCGAGCTGACGGAACTGACACGCGCCAACGTGCCCGACGACTATCCGGTTCTGGTGCGTCTCGCCGGCACCGACTATCTAGAATTTGACCCTTCGATCCCTCAGTGGGACATCCCTCAAGCCCAGAAGCTCGCCAAGATCCTCGCGGACAAGGGGGCGGATTTCCTCGATATTTCCGCCGGCGGGCAAGATGCGAGGATGAAGGTCGTGCCCGGACCCAAGTACCAGGCGTATATAGCGGAAGCTATCCGGAAAGCCGTTGAGGGCACCGGGACCCTGGTAGGGTCCGTCGGCGGCATCGCGACGGGGAAGGACGCCACGGAAGTCTTGGCGGACGGCCAGGCAGACGCCGTTCTCGTGGGCCGGGCGTTCCTCAAAGACCCTAACCTGGTATGGACTTGGGCTGACGAGTTGGACATTGACGTCCATGCTCCTAGTCAATGTGAGTTGAAGAGTCTCTCCATGTTCTCCAATCCCAAAGAGCGTTTTCTTCTCCATAAATTAGACTTTGGCTAAACTCATGTTCCCAGACGGTTGGCCTTTCGGACGCACAAGGACCCACAGACCAAGCAAGCATTGAGTTCTGAATTCTTGGAATCATGGCTTGGCCTCATCCACATTTCCGTGCCGTTTCCGAGGATCGAACGGTCTTGGTCTTTTAGAATGGGATCGAACGGGCTTCAAGGTGTTAGGTAGTAGTTTTTTTTCTTTTCTCTATAGAGTCCCATGAGTTGAATCATTCAATGATGATTGAATTTTGTCCCATCCTTGTTTTACGCCGTTCTAGAAGTTTCAGTGTTCCCACAGATTGCGTCACCCGTAATTCATATGTCTTCGCCATCATCAGACGGTGGTTGATGCGGATGAGGATGCGGGTGCGGATGCGGTTGACTTTGACCGTGAGATTGTCCAGCTGGTGACTGATTCCAAGGAGGATAACCCAGCGGCTCAAGTGCCTGCTGAGCTGCAAAATAACTGTGGCCACCCAAGACTGAAGCATCTTGACCAAACATTTGTACGTCGCCTAGGATGTCGTCGACTGTCGCATTCTCCAGTGAGAGGGAGGCCTTTCCCTGCGCGGTAGTCAAGGCCTGGACTTGGTCTAGCCTCTGGGCATACCACGCTCCTTCGTGCGATCTCTGCTTGTGGTAAAGCATAGCCTGGTCGCACAGAGCCTCGATAACCCTCCAAGCAGCAAACTTGCGCATGCTAATGTCCTCGTTGTTGTGTCTGCGGAACACAATGTTCATTTGTCGCCATGCTCGGTCTGTAACCGGGTGTTTTGGTTGTTGAGCGAGACCGATGAGAATGTTTGAAATCGTGAAGGGTGTCGTCGGCCATCTGTAGATCCAGCCACAATGGTTTTGGAGAGCCACTGCTTCACCACGCTCTGCTTCCTCCAGAATTTCTACACACTCTTGATAGAATCTAGCGATTGCAAATGTTAGTCAGTGTCAGAGCCTCTTGGCTTTAGGTTCCAACTTACCCCGATCGGAATTCAGCATCTTGACTAGCACCGGTATGTCGAGCCACAACTGTCTCAACTAGAAGTCGCATGCTTCTCATACTTGTTCTAAAGTATGATACAATTATTGCATGACTTGCAGAGCTACCGTCAACGTGGGATATAAACTTGGCCTTGATAAAGTTCTCGGTCTGGTCAATTATCCTGTTCAGCTCTTCTGGGCTCGTGTCGTTCCTCTTGCGCGTTATTGATTGCATCGTCTTGAACAGATGCTGTCGTATTAAGACAAAAGACATGTCTGTGATTCCATCCTGATCTGGAGGGGTAGAGCCTGGTTTTGCAAATCGATTTGGCATCCACTGGCTGTCGTTTGCATTCTTTGCGGGTTGGACGTCGGATATTGATGGCAGGCCAGAGTCTGCACCCTCCAAATTGTACACCGGGTTGTCCATGATTTCGAAGTGAGTCCAGACTCGGCGTCTCATATTTGCTATCCAGGGCGAATAGCTATAGTGACTCGGATCTCGGTGCAATCCAAGTCTTGTGCCGAATCGACCAGCCAATCCGAGGAGAGAAACTGCAATTTCTCCATCACCCGTGATGAATTTTGCTTGCTAGGAAGATTAGTAAAGACTATCTTCGGAGTTGTGAGTGAATGGTAAGGGAAAGTGGCCGAACGAACAATATGATAGAGCAGAGCAAAGAAAGCCAAAACCTTCCTACTCCGCAAAATGTCTGCTCTCTCAAGGGCTAGTTGGGTAGCTTCCTGCAGGTGTCGAAGGAGATCCTTCTTTGGTTTGCCTAACCTCTCTTGGATAAGGTTTGCCGGCAATGCCGCAACGGTCATGGCTTGGGTTGCAAACATGCCTGCCTCCACGTCTATCGGGATTTTGTGGACGCCCACTCGGAAATCTGTGATTTGCTGCCGCCAGTAGGACTCGTGGACTATCCGAACGTAGGGCTCAACATGCGCGAGGAAAAGGTCAGTCAGGATATCTTCCTTTTCGGGTTCAAGGTGTAGATGAGAAAGATCGGCCAGAACGGGTGTTCGACCAATAGGCCAGGAAGACGGACTCGCGGGGTTTTTGCCCGTCTTATCCGAGTCGATACGGAATAGGCATCTTGGTTCGTAGACAACGTCTTGGAGGTTGAGCCAGTAGTCGGGACCAAGATAATAGGAGACATTCTCGTCGTACACCTGCATCCCAGGATCTCCAGCCAGGGACTCGTCTCGTTCGTTGTAAAACTCGCCAAAGTGACTTGTTGCTGGACTCGCAGATGGAAACGAGCTGCTAGTCGCCTTGAGTGATTCTCCTCGAACAGACATGCCCTTCATCTCCTCGATCACCCTTTCCAGTCGGTCGACCCTCTCCTGCAACTGCTGTTGGCTTTCGGGGCTGGGGACGCCGGGCTCCCTCTGGGGGTCGTAGACACAGGAAATGCCATGACGAACACAGTTGAGGCATGGCTTGGCCTTATCGCAGCGGACCTTTCGACGTCGACATCCGTTGCATGGTTTGTTGAAGTTCAACAAATTGGACGACATGGTTGTAGTTGAAAAAATCCCTAAAACTTGAACAGGCAGACTATCTGCTCGGATAAACCACAAGCGTGCTGACAAAAGTTTGACGATGAGGCTCTCTTGGGCGTCTGTGGGGAAAATTGGGCGGACGAGCAGTCTCTTTCGGGAAGGGATGCGGCGCCGAAGCCCTAGAAGGCTCGTCTGGCGCCGGTCCGGATTTCCCGAACGACGGTAGGCCTCAGCTAAACGATACAGCAGTCAGGGGTTCAAAGGCACCAACAAGAGTGCTTGATAATTGCTTCAAAATTGCCAACATATCCGAGCGTGGGCCGGACTCGAGAACAAGAACGGGCAGGGCCCTTCCAAGCGGGAAGAGTGGCGATGGATTCGTCCGTGTTACTGTCCCGGCTCCGAACGCTGATCAAGACGAGGGCCGGTTGCCACGTGTGATGATCGATGTTAAACCTCTGGCGATGGTGAGGATAGAACCAAAAAACTCCACTCCGGTGTGGGAGGAGATGGAAGGTCCAAGAGCAGAAGACCACGTCAGGGCCACCGCCTTTACTGCTGCAGCTGAAGTTCCAAAGAAGGCGACTGCGGCCGAACAGGCGGATCTGGGCGGCCCAATCCCGCTACGAGGGATTTTGGGATCTGAACGAGGGTCGAGGATGGCAGTGGGGTACTTCCCGTAGGTCTGTACTCGGAGGAAGGGCTAGAGCGGTTGGGCGGCGCCGCGGCGGATGCTCACTGCAGTACCCTTGCAATTTTGGGCTTGTGTGTCTCTCTTCCTTCTTCCTGTTCCTTCGTATTGCGCTGTTGACTCTTGCTGTATGAATCAATGTGCTTCCTTAGCGGCCTTTAAGCAGCGAGTCGGAGAATATGCAGTGATTCGTCATCATGACACGAAGATAAATCAGTTTGATCGTGGGAATCCGAATTGGGCCTATCTGTTGCTCTCGGGGCCCGGTCCCGAGTATCACGGAGAAAGAAGATCAGAGCGTGAGCGACTGCGGCCACGCGGCGGCCGCCACGGAACAGGAATCTAGATCGTTGCTGTGAACGATTGGACAATTCACTGACATAATCCTCCGGATGGTCGATGGAGCTTCCAGGTGACGGAACGGCAATGCAATAATGAACTCTAGATGGGACGACAGGGCCGGCCCAACCCGCTCGAGACAGGAGCTCAGAAGTTCAAAGTCCAGAGACCTTCGGCTCGAGTGGTTGGTGTTGGGTTAGGCGACGCGGAGAAGGAAAAGAAGAGTGAGGAGAGATCTGCAGCTGTAGGGTTGCAGCCGTTGAGGAGCAGAAGTCCCCTTTCCCTAGTAGATGAGGTGACACAGATCTCTCAGGGCCGATTAGCTAAGGTGATGTCTCAGGTGAAAGAGAGACCGAGGGACGTCAATACCTGTGACCTGTCGCACTTGTTCGAATGGCCATCTCATTGACGCGCTATTGGCGTGACAGAGCGGATTGAGCGCCGATTGGCGAGAACGAGAATTTTGTTGCTTCCCTTGTACTGCATACTCACAAAGTATCCGCCCATTTCTAGCTTGGCGCGGTCATGGATATTTGGTAGCACAAAAAGTAAAAATAACGAGCATATGTGGAGAGTCCAGATTCATCCAGCATTGCAGTGCCACCTCTTCACATATGATACCACTGCGGTCCGGACCCGCCTGGAATTGGCCAGCCCGGAGGATTCAGCTGGTCAAGGCAAGGAACAACCTCAGCTCTTATGCATCCAGGCCTTTTCACTTATCGTCCAGCCTTACGTAGGGCGCATTACCTTATCTTAATCCCATCGCGCCCTGGGGGCCTGGACAGCTGGGCTCCTCCATGACCCTGGTAGACGGCTCGGAGGACCCGGCCTGAAAGTGGGTCATCCTCCGGGGATAAGTGGAGACATTGGCCTAGCGTAGGGTGGAGCTCTGCCCGGTTCCCCGATCCAGACGGTACGTACTCTTTTGCTATCACCTGGCCCCTGTCGTCAAAAAAGCCCGAGCTTCAGGTACAATCCCACCGAGGCGGGCCGGCTGCTTCCGTGCGCAACCCCGCGGCGCCGTCGCACCCACCAAACTGGACGCGTCTTTCGAGTAAGGTAGGGCGATTTGCAGCTTCAAACCTCGACGGGGGCTTGCTGCAGCGACAGGTGTTGTTTGCGAAAAACCAACGATGGCTTTGCCTCTCCCCTCGGGTCTCGTACCCACCGAAGTGGCTTTTCTCTGCGAGATGGAGCTCGTCACAATCGTCCCTCGTCAGCGGCTGGAAAGCATCCATCTTCTCAGCGTAAGAACGGAGCAGCAGCCCCTTCGAAGCACTTTACCCCGCTACGCGTCGCGGATAGAATTCTTCTGCTAACTCTCGATGCTTTTCCCAGGGTGCAACTCCAGCCTTGCGACCCCCGGCACGTGCCGACTTACCGCTTTGGCTGGCACTCCTCCTCAAGAAGCAACGACGAGCAAACATTGTTCCACCCCAGTGGCTCCATCCAACCTCCCTCGCTAAGATCGTACATCAAGAAACGACACTGAACCCCGACGCCTTCTCTGCTCCCCCGCCACCTCCTGCGCGCGGCGATGCAAGAGGCAATGCCCGTCGACTAGGCGCGACTCTCGACGAAACCCTGTCACCGCCGTTCCTACCCTCGTGTACAGCCGACGCGCCTCCGAATGCGCTCCCTTACCACTGGTTCGAGCTCGCCGAGGTGCTGCTGGCCCACGCATCCGACGATATACCCTCTACTTCCGAGGTGAGGTCTCTCCTCAAGGACCTTCAGGAGGTACGATCTGCCAAGATGCGCAAGAGTACACAGGATCTGTCCGACGGTGTAGGCGGCGTCATGAGTTTACGGGGAGTCGGAGCGATGGAGCTGGCTGAGAGCCGCGGCTTCTTCCTGGGCGTCATAGAGGGCGTGCGGAAGATCGGCGCCAGTGCGGAAGCCAGTAGGCGTGAGGAAGAGGAGGAACGAGGCAGTGGGGACGGCGATTACGACGAAGACGAAGATATGCTATGATACCCAGCGTTTCCAACGCCAATACAACAAAGAAAATTTGCGCGCCTGCGCGGATTGCTTCTACCATGTCCATCGTACGAACTGGGCATGGGGAGGAACCATGTCGGTCCAAGCTATGCTGATTACCCTGGTGCCTCAAGAAATACGCTCCTGATCCTGTCATCAACCCATCAAAGGACGATCATCCACGAGCCTGGCAATCACTTTTGATAGAAGACATGTCACCGGGTGGTAAGGTGCGCGTACATGATCCATATTCTTGCTAGCTCAGTAATGCTTCAATAGGGCAATGTCAATTCGAACAAAATCTACGGCTCTAAAGACCATACCAACCAACCATCTCGTTGCTTGTCTAAATCTCCTTCACGTTTCCCTTATAACACTCTCGTCTTCTTCGCAGGCTTCTCTACTGCTTCGTCAAGCGAGCTGCTTGGCCTCTTTGCTGTTGCCCGCTTGTCTGAAGTCTTTGGTTGTGACTCCCGGGAGCTTGGGTAGGGACATATTATGCGATATTGGGTACGAGGGAACTTGTTCCTTAACGTTGGCACCGCAGTCTTGCCCGTGTCCTCTCTTTGTCGCTTCTGTGGCCTGGCTTCATCGTCTGCGGTGTGATCTTCAGGTCTTCCCCTCTTCCCAGTGGCATTCTTCGTCTTCGTTGCCACAGAGCCGCGTCCGCCTCCTGTTGCCGAGCCCTTGTTGTTGCCACTGGACTGTCCGTTCTTTCTTCCCTGGGCTGTAGAGCCTTGCCCGCCGCTTGAGCCTGACGGCTGCTGCTGTCCCCCGGCAGATGGGTCCGGAGAGTGGCTGGGCGAACGGTTATTCCGAGGGAAGACCGGTGAGACACCGCCCGGCGAGGACTGCCTCGAAAGATTGGACTCGCTACCTTGTCCGTGGCCCATTTCGGGTCGACCCTCGGTTTCGTCGGGGTCGAACATCGTGTAGTCGGGAAGGTGCATCTCAGAATCATCGTCGTCATCCTCATTGCCCTCATAGTCACCTCCGACGTTACCACTCTGGTCATACCGGTTGTCGCCGTCATCCTCGCTTCCATCATGCTCTCCCCTCCAGTCAACTGAGCTTGGATAGTCCTCCAAGTTGAAAGTGTTATCTCCATTATCAAAGGTCTGGTCTGGGTCAGGCCTCTCGTGAACTAACATTTCCGTTTCGTCGTCGCTACCATAGTGAACGATAGTGCGTTGAGGCGGTTCATCCTCTTGTTGAGAGTGTTCGCTCTGTGGCTCACGGGGAACTTGGCTACTCTCCGACTCGTCGCTGCCTGTTTGAGTCGGATCCATGTTCTTTGAACCCTTTCGTTCTTGAGGTGTCTTTGAAGGGGTGGACATGGGCTCAGAGCCTCCTCCGACTGACCCGGGAGTTGATCTTCTTGACCGCGTGGCTTCGTCGGGTGTACCTTGGTCGCTATCCTGTGGATCTTCTGGGTGACTGCCTTCGCTTCTTTGAGAGTTGTTGGTCGGCTCCTCACTGTCGTCACGACTGGCATCATCTTCGGGTTCTTCAGGCTCGGAGCTTTCTTCAGGCACTTCGATATCGCTGTCGGATTCGTCTGCAGATGGGCCAACGGGAAAGTCCGAATGGTTGCTATCAGTGCCATCTTGGCTCTGTGCAGCTGGTGACGTCTGTGGTTTTGTTGCTGTTAACTTGATCTTGATTTTGGTTGGTTTTCCAGTCGGAAGGGGGGTCCTCGTAGGGCGTTTAGGCGGCGTGGGAGTCGATGAAGGACCTGCGGTATCATCACCAGATTCATTATCTGATTCCGCCTCAGATTCCTCGGCAGATTCATCGCCTGATCCAGCCTGAGATCCTTCTTCAGATTCTTCACCTGACTCAACCTCAGGTTCTTCGCCAGATTCGTTGTTAGGTTCATCGCCAGATTCACCGCCAGATCCATCATCAGGACTGGTCCCAGGCTTACCACCGGCTTCGTCACCAGATTCATCTCCAGAGTCAGCATCATGGGGAGAAGGTATCGATGGCAGGACAGGAGTATTGGGCCCCGGCGGCGGCGGAGTAGGTGGTCTAGGAGGAGGCGGAGGAGGCGGAGTAGGTGATCTAGGAGTAGGTGATCTAGGAGTAGGTGATCTAGGAGTAGGTGATCTAGGAGGAGGCGGCGGTGGCGGAGGCGGTGGACCAGTTGGTCCAGGAGGAGGCGCCGCCGTCTGCTGTCCCCTTCGACCCCCGCGCACCGGGCGCACTAAAACATGGTTGCCTTGGGCGTCGTATGCCTCTCCTCTATCAGTGAGCCCTTGCCAGAGGTTGGGCTGCTGTTGTTGATTCCGAGTCTGTGTACGAGTCTGTCGACGAGTATATCCTGCGGGAGGGATCCAGGATTTCGGAAGGGCCTTGCCGTCGCCTTTCTTGGGGGCCATCTTATTGGATGCTGATATACGTCAGCGCTGGAGCGTAAGTGATGGATGAAGATCGTACGCGAAAGGGGAGGAAGATTCTGTTGAAATCGATTCGAGGTTTAATCTGTTGTTGGTTATTTTAGGAAACTTGGCTGGAGATGCAATGGAGTCTGGGTGAGTTGTTTGGTTTAGGTGGATGGAATATGCTCGTTATGGGTTCTTGTGAGTCGAATATACAGCATCTTTTCTAGAATACCGAAGTCATACATATACCAGAGTTCAGGTTCTCGGTCAGTCTTGTCGGCCATTGTGCAATTACTTCAATTCATTCAGCTTTCATGTTTTTGAGTCTTTGACACGGGCGACCTGTCTTGTCTGGCTTACAAGGTTCTTTGGGGCTTGTGTCTTTCATGCATTTGTCTGGACTTGGACGGCATTGTTGTAGAGCAAAAGATCGGCGAATCAAAGGTCTTTCATCATATGACAATGAGAACAACAGATGTTCGCGCAGCTGGATTGGTTGTCTGGATGTCCCTGGTGATTTCAACTCAATTGACCTGGTTGCCTGTGAGTCCCCAACGCGTCATGATATGAGGGAGACGATTCTCGCCCGAGTCAATTGGTCCTAGTTGACTACATATCTCATGGTGACTCGGAATAGATGTTGTAGGGCACTTATCATGTCTTACACCATTTCAGTCAGAGTGAAGACTCAATTCAAGTCTCAACATGAAGGCTTCCCTGGAAGACTCATGATCCTGTATCTTCATCGCTATGAGACGGGAAAGATTTCATCTTCTCTTACATCCATGATGACCATATGCCCAGGCGCATGCCCCATTACCGTGCCCTTGATATCAGCTCTCATCACAGCCTCTTGTGGCGTGACCCCGCACCCCCAGAAGACGGGCACATACTCTTCATCGTCATGCCCGAACACAGTTTTCCCATCCATCTGCAGTGCTGGATCGCCCCAGTGAGGCTTCGTGATATCCGTTACCCCGATCCTCTCCGCCCCATCCCATCCCCACGCGATCGGCTCCCCGTGTGTCGCCACGAAAGGCCTGGTGATATCCCTCACTCTCTCAATCTCCGACACCTTGTAAGGCCTCATGGAGACTACATATGTTGCCCCCTTGAAGACGCCGGCTGCGCAGAGTGGGATGTTGGTACGATACATGGGCACGTTACGGTCATGCGTCATGTGTCGCGGCGTGAGTCCAGACTCGTTGAGAGCCCTCTCGAAGCTGAAGGAGCATCCGATCAAGAAGCCTACGTGGTCGCCGTCAAGCCACTTGTCTTCCACATTTACGGGTTCCCAGACGCCGTTGACTGGGACGTGTTTGCTATCCTCGTAGACTCGGTATCGTGGTGAGTCGTGGCGCAGATCAATGTTTGTGGCCACGGGTAAGATCTTATCGCCGTCTGGTGATCTAACATAAGACTTGAGCTTGTCGAAGTCTCCTGGACTTGATGACTCTGCGAGGAGGGGACAAGGTACTGGGTTGCGGTGGCAGAGAAGACGGAAGTCATCGGCGTAGCGTCGTGGAAGAACGATGAGGTTCGCTTGGAGATACGTTGGGGCTTGACCGGCTGTGGTTGAGGCAAAGGTGCCGGAGCGGCAGGCCAGTCGAGCTTCCTCGCCCGTCTTGTAGATGTTAGTCATGGTTGGTTGGTTGGTTGGTGTGCTGAAGTTGTGGACTGTTTCAAGAGGGTTGCGGGAGACTTGAGTTTCACTTGAAGTGCGATATCAAGAGGTCGTTTGGTGAGGTTTAGTAGCAATCTCATGAATCAACAATTTGTTGAAGTTGTATTCTCGAACTGATAAGGCGAACATCTACATCAACTGATCGACGGGCCCAAGCGCGCTTACGCCGACCAGTTCACTTATCAACCGGCGTGTCGGTGACCCACTCCGATCTCCGAACGCAAGCCGGCATCGGCCTTCTTCCCCGAGGGCAACTCACAGAATCTGCATTCGCGCATCAGTAGCATTCGTGTTATGGGAGAGTTTCAACATAACCATTCCGCCATATGCTATATAGATAATCTAGCTCTATGAGGCTGCAAAAGAGGCTGCTTTATCTCAATTTTGATCACTGACCTTCACCCTCTTCCCCAGATTTCGGGGCCTCGGACGCTGGGGCCGGGGACCCACGCCGACTCCCGAGACATCTCCGCCCCCATCATCACCATTCCCTTCCGTCATCACCTCCATCGAAGGCATCGAGGCATCCTCATTCCTCAGAGAGCAGGCGAATCAGAATAGTTGCCAAAGGCCGCACCTCGATCACCTTGCACATCCGCAGCAGTGACCAAGGCCCTCAACTCCCTCTCCTCCTCCTTGCCCAACACAACCTCCAGCGCTCCCATATTCTCCTCCAAATACTGAATCTTCTTCGTCCCCGGGATCGGCACCACATCCTCCCCCTGCGCAAGCAGCCAAGCAAGCGTAAGTTGCCCCGCAGAGCAGCCGTGCTTCGCGCGCCCGACGGCGGCGAACTCCTCCACGAGCTGCGTGTTCTTCTTGAAGTTGTCACCCATGAACCGCGACCTCTGGCGGCGGAAGTCGCCTTCCTCAAAGTCGTCCACCGACTTGTACCGGCCCGTCATGATGCCGCGGCCGAGCGGCGAGTAGGCCACGGTCGTGACGCCAAGTTCGCGGCACGTCTTGAGGAGGTCTGTGCCGGCGGGGCCTTCGATCTCGAGAGACCAGGGGTTGTATTCTACCTGCACGGCTGAGATGGGGTGGATAGCGTAGGCGCGGCGGAGGGTGGTTGAGGAGCACTCCGAGATGCCAAAGGCCTTGACTTTGCCCTCACTTCACATTCGCCGTCAGTAATCTGGAGCTATTGCGACGACAAGACGCCTAATTATGGTCCAGTCTCAAACTCACTTCTTCAGCTTAACCATCTCCTCAATCGTCTTCTCAATGGGCGTGGTCTCGTCCAAGCGGTGGATATAGTACAAGTCCATAGCCTCAATGCCCAGTCTCTTCAAGCTGCGCTCGCACGCCTCGCGGCAGTACTCGGGCGAGCTATCGATCCTGATGTCGAACGTTCCGTCGTTCCTGATCTCCCCGCGCAAACCGAACTTGGTCGCCAGGAAGATGTCGGCGCGGCGCTCGGGGTGCAGCGTGAACCACTTGCCAATGAGGTCCTCGTTGTCGCCGTACGCGTCGGCGGTGTCCCAGTTCGTGGCACCGAGCTCCCAGGCGCGGTCCAAGAATGCGAGACGCTCTTCGTCGGGTCTGTGGAAGAGATGGAGTTAGCTCGAGATGTCTCTTTAACGACTTGGTGATGATAGGCCGCGAACCCAGGCTTGCCGTAGGCCACGCTGAGGCCCATCAGTCCTACGCCGAGGGCAGTAATCTCGGGGCCAGTCTTGCCAAGGCGGCGCGTGGGGAGGTTTGCTGGAGGTGTCATTTTGAAGTTCTCGGTGTTGCTATTAGCAAGGCGCTTGGTTTGGTGAGAGGGTCGAGCTTGCTGCAGAACAAGACCACTTCATCATCGAGACTGCGGAACGTTTATATAGGTAGTTCAGGCCTCTCTCGTGAGGATTGCCCGTTTGAGTTCTCCATGGCGTCGAAGCAATGATATCCAGACCCGTAGCTGCACAATCCCTGAGATCGAGCGCTAAACTCCGTGAACTTGATCATGTTGCCGGCATCATGCATAGACTTCGATCGCACAACGGCATGTACAAGGACCCCATGTCAAAGGCGGCGACTCGTACTTAGTCAAGTGCCAGCTCTAAACTGCCTCGGTATCGAATTAGACTCGAACGAAATGAGACTAGTCAACGAATCAACGGCTCAAGGAGACCTAGAAGAAGCAGGTTTGGTGGTGCTGGTCCGCGATTGATACTTATATCCGGGCGTGCGGGTGGTGCGGCCGCTTCGGCCGCTCCATTCTCATAACTCCGGTGACATCTCCCTCGACCAACTTTCTCGTCAATTGGCTCGGTGGGTTGCCGTTAGTGGGTATCTTCCGAAAGAGATTCTCCAAGTGAGGCTTTGTTCGCGCACTGCCGAAGTCTGGGTTGCCCTTCAGACTATTGTAAGGCACACAATCACCCCTTGATCGAGGGCAGAAATGCGGCCACCTTAGAGAACCTGGGTCGTGATGCTTTGTTCAGCTGGCGCTGATACCACGGTCGAACACCAAAGAGATTCAAGAATAACTCTCTAGCTGGATGCTTTGTCAAGTGACACTTCATAAGCATGGGTCGATCTGCAATTCGAATGGCGCACATCCCTGCAGCTTGCTCTCTCCAACGACCTCGTCACATCTATACGCAAATACCAGACTCTGTACCACATCCAAAGCCATCTGACACATCCAATCAACCCAACATCTCTCAGCGAGACGTCAGGTAACACAACCATGACAGCCTCAACAAGCCCCTTTTATCTAGCTATCCGCACAATGTGGCCACCAACCCTCCTCGCCGGAATCTTCACCCTCTTCATCACCCCCCTCGAAAAGGTCTTCTACCGCGCTGACCTCTCCATCGCATACCACATCTTCGCCGCAGCCTCAATTTACCTCACCCTCATTCTCAACGCCGTCATCGTAATGACGCCCCTCAAGACCGATTTCCAAAACATCAAGAAGAACGAACAAGTCTTCTCACAAATAGGTATCTTCAACCGCTGGCTCGTCGAGGGCTACCTCCACAGCCTCTTCTTCCTCCCCAACCTCTTCGGCCCCATCATCGTATGCTGGGTTATCTTTGCTGACAACAGGTATCTCGATAACCTCGCCCATCTCTACGGCTTCGTGGTGGGCATGCTGCATGCGCCGCTGCTGCTGAGCCTGGCTGTTCATCTCGTCATTCACCTTGTCTTCCTCATCCTTCGGTGGGTTGTCGCAAAGACGTCGTGGCTTGTATGGACGGTCTCGGAATACGTCCCCCAACACCCCTGTGAATCAACCCAGAAATTCCTTCTTGTTCTATACGTTTGGCTCGAAGAGCTCCCCGATGAGACTGCGGCTGCGATCGACCGCAAATTGTTTCGCACCGAGTGGTTCTTCCTCCAGCTGGTCGCCGGCTTTGCTTGTACTAGTTTGGTCTGTATGCTCTACACCATGATCGTTGACACGTTCCGTCCGTGCTTGCAGCGCCTTGTCGTCCATATCACTGCGGAAGTGCTGTTGTATATCGGAGACTTCATATTCGAAGTGGGTCGTTGGATTGAGGGCCTCGTGGTAAGGCAGACTGTTTGGGAGGAAATGAACTTGTGAGAGGCTGAGGATGCCCGCAGCTTTGTTCAACGCTATGCGACTTTGTCTTCTTTCGCGCCTCTCGTTTCATTTGTAGCTTCTGCCTTGCACCCGTTTCGTGAGGCCATAGGTCTCAAAAGAATGAATAAATACTAGTGTTATTTCAAGCTAGCTTAAGCAAATCGTCTGACCAATCCTGGGGTATCAAACGCCAAAGGTACATAGTACAAGAATGGGAACCGGTAGCCATCCAAGAGATGGGCAAATCCGATCCAGAATACATGATTGTGAGGATGGCCCTCTATTCTAGCAAAGTGATTGATCCGTGGCCTACTTTTGGCCCTTGTAAAAAAGCATCCTCGCCTCTCGTTGTCATCATCCAGCATCATCTGCTGAAGGATCTTTGTACAATGCTTCACAGGATCATGCTATTCTCCGCGGTGTTGGGTTCGATCGACAGAAGCGTATGGCAGCGATGGACACGCCATACCAGGTGAGTCGCCGTCTTGCCGGTACAAGTTCGAAAGAGGGGATATGGTAGGCTGCACAACATTAAGCGGCCGACTGTCCAGCAATGATGATGCCGTCGGAGCTAGTCTCAATGACCTTGTAGCCGTCGGCGTTCGCGGTGCCCTCAGCCGCCTTGGAGTAGGCGTCGTCGCTTCTGCAGAACATGTTAGAAATAGTCATATCTCAACGAAGACCACTGATGAGCTTACCTGTTGCATAGAACGTCGAGATCCTTGTCACTGAGGACCTCGTGATCACCGGAGTACTTAAAGATCTGACCATCCTTCAGCAGCAGAGACTTGAGCGTCTCGCCGTCAAGGTCTTCTTTCAGGTCAATCTTCTGGCCCATCGTCTTAAAGGATCCCTTCTTGATGATTAACTTCTCGAGACGACGCTTGGCGTCAGCGCTCATGAGAAGCTCCTCCTCAACGGTGCCCTTGGTGGCGAGACGGTAGACAATGACGGGGCGAGTCTGGCCGATTCGGTGGCAGCGGTCCTGCGCCTGGAGATCCTGCTGCGGATTCCAGTCACTGTCGAAGAGAATCACAGTATCGGCACTCGCCAGGTTGATGCCCTGACCGCCGGCGCGCGTGGAAAGCAGGAAGATCTTGAACTCGGGGTTCTCGTTGAACTCCTTGATTTGGTCGCGGCGACTTTCCTGCGAGACGGATCCGTCTAATCGGCAGGCCTTCCACTTCCGAAGCTCGCAGTAGTCTTGAAGGATGTCAAGTTGAGTCTTGAACTGGGAGAAGATCAAGACCTTATGGCCCTTGCTGAACAAGGCAGGAAGGAGACGATCAAGCATCAGCATCTTGCCGGATGATGTGACAATGCTCTCGTCAACGGGAGGACTACCCTCGTAGCCCCAAGGATCGAAGAAGTTGTGCGGGGAGTTGCACACAAGACGAAGTTGCATGATGGGGTTTCCAAGCTTCTTAGTTGACATCTCCTTCTTCGCCTGCTCGAGAATGTTGACCTGGTGTTGTTCCTCAGGGGAAAGAGCGGGGGCAGAATCATCGTCATTCTGGTCGGCTTCCTCTGCCTCCCGGGCCAGCTTGGCCTCGAACTCATCATCAGAGAGCTTATCCTCGTCGTCAGGGTCGGAGTCAACATAGCGTCGACGGCCACGGGTGACCCGGCCTCGGGTAGTAGTCGAGGGTGTCGACTGTCTCGATGACTTGGCACTCTTGGATTGTGGGGTTTCGAGAGTGGGTGCTTCCTTGCGCTTGGAGCCAGCCCGGGAGGATGCCTTTGATGAGGCTTTTGACGTTGCTTTGATGGTTTCTTGGGGCTTGGAAGACGAGCTTCTAGCCCGGTTCATCATTGCCGAGAACGCATTAGGTTTCTTGGTCTCCGGCGCTGCCTCGCCCTTAGTCTTTCTAGGACTACTTCGGATCGGAATTTCAAGCTTCTTGGCAGAGATTTTCTCCTTCTTGACAGGAGGAGCGATGGCACTGAGACGGTCGATGACCATCTTCTCCAAGAAGGCGCGAGTATCGACATCCTTGTCGTTGATGGCATTATACATATCAGTCTGCTCCTTTGTCATTGGCGCAAACAGAACGTATTCCCGCTTCTTGGGAAGATGCGCGGCAACATCTGCCTTGACGCGACGCAGAAGAAGTGGTTGAAGAATGACGTGAATCTTCTTGATCAGCTCCTGATTCTCGCGATCGGCAATGAACTCCTGCGCGCCCTCTTCGTCCTGGAGGTCGTCAAAGTCAAACCATGCCTCAAAAGCCTCGTAGCTCTTGAAGATCATAGGCAGTAGGAAATGAAGAAGAGCCCAAAGCTCTTTCAGGTTGTTCTGCAGAGGTGTTCCCGTGATGAGCATACGAGTAGCTGATGCAAAAGTCTCCAGCTCTTGGAACAGCTTGGACTCGAAATTCTTCATGCGGTGGCCTTCGTCCTAATGAATGTGAGCAAGCGGGGTTGATAACCAGGGTGTCAGGCAAAAATACTTACAATGATGATGAAAGCCCAATTGAACTTGCTCAAAGTAGCCCTTTCTCTTAGAACCATCTCGTAAGATGTGCACACCACAGGGAACTTCTTGGTGGGGTTGCCGTTCTTCATATTTGGCGTCAAGTGTTTCCTCTTGATTTCCGCGCGCTTCTGAGCGTCTCCGTGAAAGAGAACGACAGGAAGGGAAGGACACCATTTCTCAAACTCGTCCATCCAATTTGAGAGAGTACTCAAGGGTGCAACGATGAGATGGGGGCCAAGGTAGTTTTCCTCTCTCAAGTTGGCAATCAACGAGATGGTCTGAACCGTCTTGCCTGAATATAGTTAGTATTCGACTCTCCGAAGTATTCTCACACATGAATGGAATAAGAGTGTAAGTTGTGCAAATGATGAGGAAGAAAGACTTACCAAGACCCATCTCATCAGCGAGAATACCAGACAAGCCCTGAAGGCATACTTCCCGCATCCAAGTAAGTCCTTCCAGCTGGTAGTCTCGCATGGTGCCACCCTTCATGATCTTGGGTTGGGCAGTCAGTGATAGACTGTGGTCACCCAAGGTTTCACCCTCCAAGCTTGTACCAACCCGACCCATCGCCTGAGTCTTTTCCATGAGCATCTTGCTGAACGCCTGAGACTTCTTGAGCAGTTCATCCAGCTCCTTGGCCAACTTGAGCTTCTCCTCTTTGGAGAGCTCATTCTTGCGCTTCCTGCGGTTCTTCAGGTTCTGAGACTTCTGTGCGGCTTTGTTTTTCTTGTTATTGTCTGCTTTGGCCCTCGCCTCTTCCTTCATTATAAGAGCGAACTCAGAATCCATGGGCTCAACACTCTCATCCCGCGGTGGTGAGGAAGGGGCACTGGTGTCAAGCCGCTGATTAGCGGACATGACGGACTCTACGTCCGAAGTTGATGAGCTCATATCGATTGCAGTTGAGACCAGATCCGGGGGAAAGTAGCAAGATTATGAGTTCGTGACTTTTCTAGAAGTTGATAACTCCTCGAGAACCTCGCTTTCGTCCTCGACTTTGTGGGTGAATGGGAATACTCCGTCAGTGGTGATGGAATCCGGGAGAGAGAAAAGGGATCCAAATCGATGATGCAAGGGGAGACGCTAAATTTGGCAGTGAAGGTCTGTGCCTCAAAGGCTCAAAAATGTCGAAATAGTGAAATTGATGTTGGGAAAGATGCTATAAAGGAAGCTGGCGATGTAGTGCTGTCTAATTTGGAGTGAGGTTTCCTTCCAGTAGAAAAAAAAAAAGGAGGTTCCCGAGATAATTGCGTGAGGGTGCGGTGGCAAGGGGAAATAGAAAGCAGGAACGAGTGGGCTTCAGCTGCCAAAGGGCGCGCGATCGCGGGGCGACAGGGGAAATGGCAGGGGCGCGACGCGAAGAGAAAGCGCTAGCACGTGATGTCGTGTCGCTTTCAATTAAAGCCCCGGTTCTTCTTTCCTTTTTTTCTCTTTTTTCTTTCAGGCAACCGTCGTCATGAAGTCGGTCGGGGATCGGAAGGAGATCGGGGTCCCAGCGATGCAATCTAGACCCTTGTCTTGCATATTCCTCTTCTTGCATAAAGTAATGCCACTCGAAGCAATGAAAGCTAGCTGTATAATGAATCGTGGTCGTTATCTGCATTGATCAGGTACTCGGTACCTTGAATACAACCGGTAAGATGGGCGGTCTCAGAGAACACTCACCTGTGTACACCGAGGAGTTGGCTCGGTCAGCCCCCAACGCTCACCGAAAGCTTTAGCCTGAGGCACTTAATCAAGGTGAACGGCGTGGAGGGGCAATCCTCCCACCACACCGTTGCTGGCTACCCCGCAGAGCCACACAGGTAAAAATTCCACCTCAGACTCACACCTGATGCTTTCTTCACTACGCGCTGTCCGACCCAGCTCACGCAGCATCTCCCCGTTCCGATTCGCAAGAATGGCCTCCAACACCACCTACACTCCCAACGAGGAGACCGAGATCCAGCAATGGCTCACCACTGCCACTCGTCTCCAGCAGTCTAAGCCCGACGAGGCCTCCCCTATCCTCGATACCCTCAACTCCCACCTGAGCACCCGCACCACCCTTCTCGGCACCAAGCCCAGCAAGGCCGACACCGCTCTCTACTCCGCTGTCCGTCCCCTCGTCGCCTCCTGGTCCCCCGAGCAGCGCACCGGCGAGAAGGGCTACCCCAACATCGTCCGCCACCTCGACTTCGTCCAGAACTTCCCCGCCTTCGCCGCCGATGTCAAGGCCGACGACAAGGTCAAGGTTGACCTCGACGAGGTCCTCTACGTGAAGCCCCCCGTCGACGCCAAGGCCGAGAAGGAGCGTCTCAAGAAGGAGAAGGCCGCTGCTGCCGCCGCCGCCGGTGGTGCTGCTGCTGCTGGTGACAAGGCCCTGCCCGACCGCACCAAGGAGCCCAAGAAGGATAAGAGCGCTGGCGAGAAGGTCAAGGAGGTTGTCGCCGAGGCCAAGGACAAGGTCAAGGCCGCCGTCGGTGCCGGCGAGGGCCAGTCCAAGAAGGAGAAGAAGGCCAAGGCTCCCAAGCCCCAGAAGGCTGCTCCCGCTGCCGCCCCTCTCTCCCCTGCCCTCATCGATCTCCGTGTCGGCCACATCCTCAAGGCCATCAAGCACCCCGAGGCCGACTCCCTCTACGTCTCCACCATTGCCGTCGGCGACGAGCCCAACGATGAAACCACTGAGTACGAGGGCCAGGTCTGCCGCACCGTCTGCTCTGGCCTCAACGGTCTCGTGCCCCTCGAGTCCATGCAGGGCCGCAAGGTCGTCGTTGTCTGCAACCTGAAGCCCGTCAAGATGCGCGGCATCAAGTCGTGCGCCATGGTTCTGGCCGCTTCTCCCAAGCTTAAGGAAGGCGAGGTCGACGACCACAAGGGACCTGTCGAGCTCGTCACTCCCCCCGCCGATGCCAAGGCAGGTGAGCGTATCAACTTTGAGGGCTGGGAAGGTGAACCCGAGGGTGTCCTGAACCCCAAGAAGAAGATCTGGGAGACCTTCCAGCCCGGCTTCACCACCACCGACGACTTGGCCGTTGCCTTTGATGCCGGTGTTGTTGAGGCGCTTGGAAAGCAGGGTCTTGGTAAGCTCAAGACCAAGTCTGGCGGTCTTTGCACTGTTCCCAGCTTGAAGGATGCCGTTGTGCGGTAAAAGTTCTTTCATTATTGTTCAAGTCATGATAAACAAAAGTCCTCGCAGCCATATTCTGCTGAATCATCCAAAATAGAACAAGATTCCATGATGCACCAATGTTATTCTCGCAGCACCTATGCAACCTGTCCGCCTACGAAGTTTACCATGTGACGCTGCCTAAATACCATAATCCCGACCCCTCCAGTAGAATCTACCGGCTGACTACATAAAGACCTGAGGTATTCGTCACAAGCCACATCATGAGACCTCTCTTCTTTCTGGCTCCCTCCCGCTCCTTCCCGGACGACCTTGGTCGCATCTTAATTCTTCGCCTCTTCAAACCCAACATTCGACTTCTACCGGGATATAATTCAGCCTTCATGACCACACCCGAAATAGACTATGCCTCCCACCTACTCACACAACGAAGCTACCCTGAGAGGCGTCCTTCTCACCCTCATACTCGCCAACCTCGTCTGGATCGCAAGCATGCTCGGCTCCATCTACGAGGAAGACATGGAGTGGGATCCCTACACCGGCCTTCCCATGCCCAACGACGACGGCGATGCCCAAGGTCGGACGGGGACATGTGTTGCCACACGAGCTCGCCCGAAACCTACACTTGATAATTTCCTCATCTCTGCGAGGATCGGCACGCCTCAACTTGTCAAATTAGCCGTCCGCGCCTTCTTTGGCTCTTGACCTACGAGTGCATGGGGATATCATGGGATAGCGAACTCAGGGACGTGGTGCCCGAGAAGGATGAGGGCAGAGTCATCAGCAAAACAATACCAGGCCGAACATTTCAGAATGGAAAGAGTGGCTGAAAGGGGCGTTGGGTGATTCTTTCCACGAGCATGAGATACACAAGGAAGCAGCTCAAACAGCATCACAAAATCAAGAAATCAACTGCTTTGTCGCATATTCCTTGATACCCATTAGTATGAACATGTGCTTTGTACATTGCAATAACTTTTGTAAGACCTCTATTCTAGGGTATGACCACAACCACGCCTCGAATCAAACACCAATGCGCGAGAACAAAGGAAATTCCCGCACTCATCTCCTGCCAGCCTTGCTAGCCGCCTTCTTCTTCACCGACGCAACAAGCCTGCTCAACTCCTCATCATCGTCGCCGCCGCCAACCTTCTTGGCCTTCTTCGCCTTCTTGCCTTCCCTCTCCGCAGGCACATCCTCCACGTCCCCGCCAGCCTTTCTCTTCTTGCGACCCTCCTCCAACAACTTCTGCATCGCCTCCGTGCCCTTGAACTTGGGGTTGCTGGGATCAATAGCGAACTCGTGGCTGTCAAAGACGGCCTTGAAACGATCGTCGCCGACGTCCATCTTGAAGTCCTCCTGGAGACCGAGCTTCTCACCGTCGGCGGCCGCCTTCTTGGCCAACCGCTTCGCGGCCTTGCCCTTCTTCTTCTTGGCCTTCTCCGCCTTCATAATCTCGTTCATGTCAAAGTGATCCAGGTGCTCCGCCCCATCCACGTTGTCGTCCGCCATCAGGAGCTCCAGCTGCTTCTTGTGCTCCGCCTTCTCCTTCTCCTCGGCCTCGCGCGCCGCGCGCTTCGCGAGGCGCTCCTCCTTGCGGACGGAAGTCTTGGTCTTGACCGGCTCGTCGGTCGTGAAGAAGGGGTCGTCGAAGCCCAGGTCCTCCGCGCTGTCGTCTGCGGCTTCGACCTCCTCGGCCTCCTCGGCGGCGGGGGCGCCGGTCTTGCCCTCGCGTCTGGCGCGGGCGGCAATACGCTTGGCCTCCTTGCGCTCGCGTTCCTTGCGCTGGTACTTTTCGATCGTCGTCTCCTCTTCCTCAGGCTTCTTGTTCTTCTTGCTCTCCGTCAGAGCGGGTGTGAATGTGATCTCCATCTCACCAACGGGGGCGTTCTTGGATGACTTCTTCTCCTCCTCGGCGCCAAGGCCAAGGGCTTCTCGCATCTTCTGACGGGCGAGCTCCTTCTTAGATAGCTTGGGCTTCTCGGCAGCTTCCTCCTCATCCTCGACCTCCTCGTCGTCGTCGAAGCCCGCAAATTCCTCGCCAGAGTCTTCGCTGTCGCTGGCCAGGTAGGCCTTCAGGTCGTTCTCCTCAATCTGCGAACGACTTCCGGTGAAGGCGCGGTTGATGGAAGCCTTGCGAGCGGCGTCGTCGGGGTTGACGTCCCAGGTGAGTTTGACCTTGGAGTGCTGCAAAGCGTCCGTAGTGAACTCGACAGGCTTGTATCCCTCCGGCAACTTGTCGCACTCGTCTCTAGGCTCGTCGTCGAATGTGGTATCGTCCGGTACGAATCGTAGGTCGAGGAAGTTTGATGAAGACGCGTACTCTGTGCCGTCGGTCGCCTCGTAGAGCTTCTGCGCCGTCGCCTTGTCAGAGACGGTCATGACGGCGTAGAAGTACCGCAGCCGATCCAGCTGGTATTTGCGCAGCGCGTCGTGATCGAAGTCGTCGGCATCGCCCTCCTCCAACAGCTCCTTCTTGATCGCCTCGTCTTCCTCCTCGCTATCCTCACTCTCCTCTTCAGAGTCGTCCTTCTTGAAAATGTCCTTCGGGGGTCCCTCCAGCTCCTCGCGCTGCATGCGCTCCTTGCCGAATTCGCTAGGGTAGACCGCAACCTTCTCGATGCGCCCGCCAGTTGAAGGCAGGAAGCTGTGGAAAAGAGCAAACAGATCGGCCGACTTGATGTTGTCCCAGTCCAGGTTGACAATCGCTATCCGGTTCGTGACCTCGCCCTCCTCGACCTGGGCCTCTTCGTCGCGCAGGCGCGACACGGAAGCCTTGGGGTCAGCGACAGCCGTTTCTTCCTCGTCGGACTCGTCATCTTCAGATTCAGACTCTGACTCCGACTCGGAGAAGCCGCCGCCGCGAGCAGGGTCGTACTTGGCATCCGCCTTTGCCAGCTCGCGCTGGACAACATCGTCGGCCTCGACCTCGATGCCTTCGCCCTCGTCTGAGTCTTCTTCGTCGTCCTCCGCCTCGTATAGGTTCTTCAGCGCCTTCTTCTTGTTGTCGGACTTGACTTTGCGGCCGTATCGGTCAACTTTTGGGCCGGAAGTGAAGGATTCGTCCTTTAGTGCATGCGCGAAACGCTTGTCGATCTTGGTTTTGGTGTGCTTCTTCGAGGGAAGTCGAAACCGAGGGTCGGTCTCGAAGTTTGCGAATCGAGAGTCGGCGACCTTGCCGTTTTTGCCAGATTTTGAAGACATGGCGATGGTGTTGAATTGGCAGTGGTGAAAAGGGCGTAAATTTGCTGTCGCAAGTGCTTGAAGAAGTGCCATTGGAGCGTGGGGTCGACGAAAATTTAGTGGGGCCTCTATTCTGCCACTAGGGCGGTGAAGGATTGTCTCGGTGAGCCTCACCGGGTCTATTCCACTCACCGAGACACCGAGGTAAGCTGCTCAGCATCTTGAGGTTATTCCCGAATTTGGAAATAGTGGGGTAGGCTTTCCATGGCATTGGTTCTTTCCCAAGGCAAGAGAATCACTTCAAAAGAGCGACCTCCTTCCCTCAATCAGTTCTGAGCTCTTTCCTAATGCCAGGCTGATCTGTTGCCGCCCTCCCAATCCTCCCAAGTCTATATAATACACTCATCTTCACCACCCAACCTTGCCTCTCACTTCCCCTCTTCGCCCCAACACACCGATCCCCCATCCTCTGCCCTTTCAAAATCAATTCAAATCATCCCATGTGTTACCTCATCTACCCAAATCTGCTTCCAACTCCACCAAGTTTGCTTTAGGCTTTCGGGTTGTTGAGCCAACTACACTCACTCATCACGAAGCTTCCTATTTCATCTCTCTTTCCCTGAGCTCAATGAGAAATTACTCTATTGGCTGCGCTTTTTTCCTCTGCACTTCAACTGCGCTCCCGCAATTTCCTGTCAATGACCTAGTCACACAATTTCCCAGGGAGTGAGTCTTTTCACTCAAGGGTCTCAGAAAGTTCCGCATAACCCATCATGAATCCTTCTGAAGAGAGTTATCGGGTCATTGCAGAAACAGACAGAGAAACTTCTCCGTCATCACACACTACCACAGCCTCTGATCAGCATTTCGAAGATCTATTCGTGGAACAAGAGGAATGCATGGACAGAAACGGACTCGATGCACCAGATTCAGATAGCGAATCAGACTGTCAGTCGCTGAGCGATGGCGAGTACTCCGATGATGGCTCTGAGTCGGAGATGAGAGAAGAGGATCATCAGGTCACGCTGGAGCCGACTGCGAAATCCAAATCCCAGCAGAGAAAGAGGGCCCCAAGACGAAAGAATGCCAGGGATTACGTCAATGGGGTGGTGAACGAGAATATCCTGAGAAGCCTGAAAAAAGAGATACAAAAGGAAATCGCCAAGAAGAGGCCGACCAGTCATGAAGCTTTAGACATCGTGCCTCCCAAGGCCAAGAGGCAAAGACGGACACGAAAGATCAGCGCAAATACAGCTCAGTCAACTGACCACAAATCCGCCCCTCAAGCATCTCCAGACAATTCTGAGAGTGTTTTCATTCAAATCCCTCTCAGCCAAATGAAGAAAGTCACAAATGCACAAAGGCAGAGGGAGATCACCCGGAAGAAGAACACCGGCAGCAATAATAGACGAAGCGGAACTCAGGCGGCAGACCTCTTGGAGGGCATCAAGGTCTTCGGACATGGCAAGGTCGAGTGCCTCCAAGTTGGCGAAGAAACACGGTACGGCCTTAAAGGCATGGCCGAGACCACAAAGCTTTTGGAGCCCCAAATCGGCCCTATTGCTTGGATGGTAAAGAGAGAAAACGGTCTCGCGCCACCTTATGGCGGTGTCCTGGCCGACGACATGGGAATGGGGAAGACCGTGGTGTGTCTGGCCGGAATCGTGGGTAATCCTCCCCCTGAAACCCCCTCGGACGGCTTCTCTGGAGCGACGCTAGTCATCCTGCCTGGAGATACCACTGTCAGACAATGGCAGCAAGAATTATCCAGACATGTGGAATGTATTAGTCTCAAAGAGGCTTATTATTACAAACGCAACAATCATGCAACCTCTGGTGGCGATATTTCGCGTTACAAGATCGTGTAAGTCGCTTTTCCCCTATGCTATTGACGTCCCGCTAAGGCTTATTCACTACTAGTTTCACAACTTACAGGGAGGTGTTGCAAAGCCTCCCTACTCCTGCGATCATGAAGAAGCTTGAGGAAGACCGCGAAGCTGATGAAAATTTCGATTATGACACGGCTTTCAGAGCTGTAGCTGGCGAAATTTTCTCAGTAATGTGGTACAGAGTCGTGCTTGACGAAGCCCATGAAATCAAAAACATAGCCACGAGAAGTAAGTCTCACCTCCCCCGAATTACAGATATCCGATATCCATACTTATGATGTAACATATAGCCTTCCAAGCTTGCAACCATCTAACGAGGAAGTACATATGGCTTCTCAGCGCGACTCCTTTGATCAACAGAGGAGGAGACGGTAGGACTTCAAAGCAATTCCAGACATCCTCTGAAATAGCCATAGATGATTCGGCTGACACTTGGTGCAGAGATGTTTGCCTATGTCAAGACGCTCCGAGTTGAGGGTATGGACACACGTGAAGATTTTCGAGAGAAATATCTGGGAGAGGTGAGGAATCGCAACGTCTGTAATGACCAATCACGCAATCCTACTAATGATTGGTGCTACCTCATAGGATAACTCGACTGCACTTGACGCCCTGATCAATGTTTGCACGTACAGACGGTGAGTAATGCGATACATCACATGCGACATGAATGCCAGGTTGTAACATTCATAGTACCAAACAAGACGAATTTCTCGGCGAAAAGATTCTCAAGCAATTGATGCCCTTCAAATCTGAAGTTAGATGGGTAAAGTTGTTTGAGCAAGAGAGACTGGCCTACGAGTGAGTTGTAATCACATGTCTCAGTTATCACATCTAACACATTAGCCAGTCTCATGACGGAGACGTACGACAAGGCCAAGGCTGAGGCCGACACCGAGACTATCAGTGCACTGAACATTCGTCAGATGCAGATTATTTCCCACCCCTACGGCGTCGAAAAGGCCTTTAGAAATGACTTGGAGCCCGAGCTACTAAAATTCATATTTAATGGTTTGAGTACACGACCCATCAATGACGGCCCGACAAAAGGTGGCTTTCCAACTGGAGAACATCTCTCCTTGCCACAGCTTCTGCGCTATGCACACAATGAGGCCTTAATGAGCCCCTGTAAATGCGGCATCTGTGGGACAGACAGCATTGAAGAGCCACACATGATCAACACAGTGAGTGCTAGCATTACTGTTGGCTCCCGACATGCCAAATCGGATTCACTGACAAATTTCTTTTCCAGTGCAGTCACGTATTCTGCCGTAATTGCCTTCTGGGCACTTGGCAATTCAAAGCGCAAGAGGGCACTTGTCAAGAGAAGGGCTGCAAAGTCGCCTACGAGAAGGAGACCGATGTCAAGAGAGTCTTGACGCTCAATAGCATGGAAGCAGAATGTGACAGACAGGACGAGACCGAAGCCGCGACTCATGCTTCAGTGTCAAGTCAGACCCCGTGTTCTGGAAGAGGAGCGAAGAAGAAGAGGGCAGCCAAGTCTTCACGGGCCGCGAAGGACAAGCAAGCAAAGGAATTCAGCAACAAAAAGTACGGGGCTGATTACCACGGCGTGCTCCCGGCACTTGATGTTGACGACTATGCCTTCATCAAACAAGGCATGCGAGAGAACGGCGGCATTGTGCCCCTGGGCGCGAAGCTCGAGGTGGCCAAGGAGCTGATCATGCAGTACCAGGACGAGCGAATCCGGCTCTGGGATGAGACTGACAAGACGCGGAAGAGATATGATAGTCAAAGCCCGAAGACTATAGGTAAGCTACCCCCAAGTAAATCCTCTCCAATTAACAGGTTTCGGCAAGCTAACATATCAGCAGTCTTCCACGAGTTCACCAAGACGGCCGTGATTTTGGGTATTACACTGAACGCTCTTGGTATCCCCTTCGTATATCTCAACGGAAAAGTGACTCCGACGCAGAAGAACAAAGCCATTGATGCCTTTCGTGACAACAAAGACATCAAAGTCTTGGTAAGGCCTCTAGCGTCCTCGAAATCAAAAGCGAATACTAACATGATTACTGTTTTCAGATCTCATCCGTCAAGACCGGCGGTCAAGGACTCAATCTGACTTGTGCGAGCAAAATCATCCGCGTAGACGCCTGGTGGAATGCGTCAGTCGAACAGCAAGCCGACGGCCGGGTCCACCGCATCGGCCAAACGCAAGTCGCCTCGTCGGTCGTCATCAAAGCCGAGGACACCATTGATAACCGCATTCTTGATATGCAGGAAGAGAAGTCGGAGGAAATCGCTCGCATTCTCCAGGATGACGCCCACGAAACCAAACTCTGTAGCGAATTGGAGCTGATCAAGTCGACGGCACCGGCGAGATACAAAGAGCTCGTCCGGATGGTGTTTGAGGCCATCAGGCGGGAAGATAACGAAGCAGACAGGCTCTGATCCGAGATTGCGTCACGGGCACTTGCAATGAAGGTGATGACTACAAGGGCAGGTTACAATTTTGGTAGGCCGACATTTGCAGCTGAAGGCAGCTGGTGCTTTCATCACTCGCTTCATAAGGAAGTGGGCTCATATTTCATTTGCATTCTGGGGTTTGACTTTCTGCTTTTCATGACATTAATTCCCAACATATTTACGCATTTCATAGACACAGCATCACATACATGATACTAGATTAGAACTCAAGACTGGTCTCCTTTCACAAAAGGATCTACATACTTGAAGAGAACCATGTGAATAATGAGATATGAATTCTCAAACAAGGCCAATTGTCTACGTAGGCAATACCGGGTCCAATCTATTCCGCGGGTAAAAAGATGATCAGTGAAAAGGTGATCAAGACTCGGCATCTTGATAGCTACCGTGCAACAGTTACAAAGATAATTTTCCCGTTCGGACTCGACTCCGTCGGACGTGCCCTCCGGCCTCGGTTAATTCGGGTAACGGAAGCAGCTGTGACAAGGGGTGACATCACGAACGATAGGTCTGTGACTCATTCCACCCACGAGAATTGTCCCAGACACAGGGATTTCCCTGCCCTTTCGAGGTCTCCATTCATAGGGCTGGGTTGGCCCCAGCCCGGTCTACGGAAGCCGTTCGCAAAAGGCGTTATTCTCAGAGGACCATCCTAGAACTCATTAGATTTCTCCGTGGGGGGCATGAAAAACCGAAATGAAAAGGTAAAGAGGGAATGACCGGTCATCTGATGGTCTCCATGGTCATGAGTGTGGCTATGGCGTTGCCATAGCTCCCCCACCATGAGCCCAGTTATAAGATGATTTGAGTGCTGGGTTCTTTGTGAAACGGTAGATGTCCCGGGTAGTATTGGATGCATAGTTTCTACTCGGCAAATCGGGGCGGCGAGTTGAAGTTCGTCTAATAAAACGCGGGTAATGATAGGCGCGCGACTGGTCATTGTTCGTAACCGGACCCATGCCAAGAACGAACAACGTTCGCGCCAAATACTCTTTGACGGCAGAGAGGCATCTCGTCCTACGAGTGTTGTATCAACATTGCCCTTTGAGGAATGTCTAACGAAGCTTTCAAGATCAGATTTCTGCCTCCTTCAAAGCAGCGAGAACGCAAAATTCCTTTCTGCTCGTCGATGACGGCACGGTACGAGGTCAAGTTGCGACAACGAGAATATCGGCGATCACCTACATACGAAGTAAGCAATACCCGAGTCGGCAAGACCATGGAGTTCCATTGAGATACCCGTGTGAAGATGTCTCTTGTTAGCAAGAGTTTGTGTTAGTTGAGACTGCCTACATAGCTTCTAAAGGCTGCACCGAAGGGATTTGGTGAGGTTGGCATGTAAAGCATTAAAATTCCAAGAACAGGATGCGTGTTGTTTGAGCAGAGATGGCGCATGATCTTGGGCATTAGCCAGACTGTATTCATTGATCTGCAAGTTTTGGTCGCACGTATCCGGGCCTTGGTTTTGAACTCGGAAAGTTGAGGCGCCTCGGGACCACGGGATAACCCAGGTTGCTCAAGTGTGCTCAGGTGTTGTAGGAGGTCCTGCCAAAACCCTCCGAGGTATGAATAGGGCCGTCGTCTGAAAGTCTAGATGGTTGCGAGAGGGTAACGGTTTCCTCAAACGAACTCAGAGCGCTTGCAGGTTGCAACAGGTCAAAGACCCGACATGCTTGCCTGCTTGCTCTCTAAGTGGCTGAACGGCGAACGCGGACTAGACCTTTGAAGCTACCCCGAAATGGAGCTACCCATGATGTCCGTTCGCAAACGTATTCGACGTGCGGGTATCGTTTTCGGTCTCTCGTAACGCTAACTATGGAGGGGCGTCGAGCACGGGAAGATGGAACTAGAGGAAGAGTAATTATCCGCGTATGTAAACGACGTGATGACAGCATTCAATTCGGACGAATGGTCCCCCACAGAACCGATAGGAGCGCCAGGACACTGTAGTCTGGCGCCACGTCGACTAAGAAGATGCTCTGGACCAGGACTGGGATAGTTGTAGGATGTTTACAGTTTCCCCAACCTCCGCAGGATTACAAGACCTCGGGGTCGAAATGTAGCCCAGATGGATGATCAGGAAGCGCATGAATGACGAACAGTGTCGTGCTGGGTAGTAAGTTGGTTGAGGAGCGCCCAAAAATGTGCGCCTGACTGCTTAGAGCGGGTTGTGTGGTGGTTGACTGGCAGGGACAGCCCGACCTGGCTCACCGACAACAATGGTCCAAGTCCCGGAATGAAGGTTAAGCTTTCCATCGCCGACCAGGATGGCACGGCTCGAGTGGGAGTAATCGATGCAGTCAGCCAATCATGAGAATGTTGCGCGAGCAAGATCTGGATGATGCTCGGCAGATGGCGATTTCAGCGTTAGACAAGGGTCAGTGGGCAACCAAATTACCCCATTTGAGCAAGGACTGCGGGAAGAATGAGCCCGGTTCAGGTGCTTGCGTGGTGGTAAACGCCCGAATTTGGCACCAGCTGAATCGGGATTGGGAATAGGCTCAGGGTCAGGGCGACGGTCTGCCACGACGCTGCGTAGAGGCGGAGAGCGGCACATAAGAGGTGTCTGTTCCTTTTCTCGCGTCTCTTACGACGCGTGTTGCGCAACTGACAATTGGCACCTGAAGGACAGACACCAAAGGCTTTGCTTTTCGTCCAAAGGATTGCAAAAGTCGGACCTAGAGCCGAAAGAGGGTAAATTTGTCTTCGTATTCCCAGGTACATACTGCAGGCTACCGCAGGCGACCGCAGGCGATTTAAAAGGGCAAAGGCTAACAGACGGGGTCAGAGCTTTTTCGGATCGTTGGTCCACAGGATGACCGACGCGAGCGAGAGTGGTCTGCATTTCTTCGGTGATGGTGTGCGGGTGACGAAAGCATACCGAGTAGCGTTGCATGTAATGACCCTACCGAAGCACGATACATATCCAGATGGCGCTGATCATATCCGTCTCATGGTGCGGTTTCCGTAGATTGAATCTCGATAGCCAGCAAGCCATCATGTGACCGTAGAGCCTGGTCCCATTGTGTTAGGACGCACACTGCAAAATGCGAGGAAGTAGGTACCTAGGTAGGGAGAATGTGTCAGCGTGAAGAGAACCAAGATAACCCCAATGGCGCCGAGACCTGTCTCGCGCTTGTGTTCTCGGCTCAACAGACTGTCTGCATCTGTAACTCACGAGAGATTGCGAATGGGCTGGCAGGACGAACCAGCCCACATTCGATCCAATGGGCGACGGAAATGGGGGTCATGTCTCTGTCGCTGTCGGCTACAAAGTTTGGAGAGGGAGGAATGTGGTGCTGGTTGTCCCATCGAAAAAGAAAAATACGGGCGTAGACCTGTTCCCAAAACACAAGAACCCAGAAGGGGGAACACAGGGAATGGTGCCTAGCGTCTCGGATCGGTAGCCATACCAACGACGAGGATGGGGTGGACGGGTAGTTGATACCCTACCCAGCTTGCCAGGATGTCAGGTATGGATATGTGCACTTTGAATCGACGCTTCGGATAACGTACAGTAGATACGTTTCGCTTGAGCTAGGTACGCCGGCCAAGTTGCCGTCAGAGATGCAGATGGTCGTCGGCGCCGTCCTTGGTCCGTTGTTGCTGCTGCTGCCAGCGATGCGCGGAAACGGCGGTGTTTCACCGCTCTTGGAGATCGTGAAGTGCTCCAAGATGACACGGATCGGCGAGATCAGATGCCTCGAAGGAATTTTGGATAGGCCACTGATGGTCCAAAATTTGAGCTGATTAGTTGTCTGCAAGGTGGTGAGGAAGAGGGAGACAACGGTCCCTTGGATGAAGCTCGGAGTCGGTGAGCAGGAGCTGAGGAGCGTAAGGTAAGGTACCTTGGCTTACTCATGGGGTGCCTCGAGGTACGTAGTCAAGGTACCCCCGTCATTCCCGCAAGCGGACCAGCATCCGTCATTGTTCCTCACCTCATTGGACAAACAGGGGGTCAATTTCTTCCCGTGGCTCGTGCTTCACATGGGGCATCGGATGCGACGCTCGGGCCAGCCGACTGTAAGGCAAGTATGTACCTAACTTGACAAGGACAGGGCAAGACCATGAGCCGGGCAGGAAGGGAAAGCTGTGAAACAAGGCTCTGCTTCTTATTCTTGTTGGCCAAATTACTACCTCCCTGAGCTTTGAAAGGTATGCTCAGTACATCATACAACGTTATGTTATAATAATGGAAGCAGCGAAGAGAGAAGTAATAGCGATAGTAATGGTGCTTAAGATGCTCGCTCAAAATCGAAATGCCGGGTGATGGTGGCAGATCAAGGCAGGGAAGGAGAGCATGAGAACCCCGAGAACGGTAGGCAAGTGCGTCCAATGCAAGCGGCTGCCCCGTGCAACAAGCAAGGAGTAACTGCAGGCACATCTCGTCTCCTCGGACCTGGGTCTTTCTTCATCATCTTCAGGTGAAGCACTTCAACGTCCAGGATGGAAGTCTGACAAGCCGATCGTCAATACGATCCCGAGATGCTACTGATGGGCAGAAGACTGAGCGCTATGCGAACCAGCCTACTAGGTGTATGAGGAAGTCTAAGGTAGTTGGTGTTCAAAGCGTTGAGGACTGGTATACCTAAAGTAAGGTACATTACCTCACGTGAATATTGCCCGTTCCCTTCTAACCTAATTGTGCCAATTCGTACCTACCTCATATCTATTCGTTCCTTCTGTATACGCTGTACGAAGTACGTACTGGTTGGTTGGTGGTGCCTCTTGGACACATGGAAAAAGGAAAGGGAAGCGCATCTCGTGCCCTGTGCACCGTGACCTGCACCTGCAGCTCTACGAACAACCACATTGGAAGGCAAGAACCTAGGCCACCTTATGTCTCTCCTTCCTGCTCACGTTGCTGCAACCTCAGCTCCTGCCCGTCGTACCTGGGTAGTCAGCTCAGCTCTATCCGTACAAAAGGATACATTGGCTGCGCCAGCTCCTGCCTCATTTCTGGGTTTGCTTGGTTCTTGCCGATCATGAGCTGTTCCCGCCCGTGCTCCTTGCCTCGGCCATGTGCCCGTCGTGCCTTCCAATTATCCCACTTTAGAATCCCGTGCGTCTTGCGCATTCTCTCCGTCCGTGATCACCGCGTCGCACCCTCCAGTCCATCTCACCACCTCACGTTGCGTTGGAACGGGATCTTATTTTCCCATTACAATGCAACTGCGCATCTTCACGATCCGTCATGAGCACTCATTAGTTGCCATGATGTTGCCGCGGCCCTCGGGGCTTTTTCGATAACATGCTTTGCACACGTCAGCACTGGTGCTGGGCCTTTGCCGAGCCAGGCGCTCATGACTCCTCCCGTCTCAACCTGAAGCTCCTCTATCCAATTCCCTCCATACAACGCCAATCGGCGCATCCGTTGCCCGTTTTCGGCTTCAACCTGAAGGGATGGTCGAAAATACAACGTCCCGTCCACGTCACCTGGCAAACCGCAAGTTCGGGAAACGCACCGCTAGAGAGTCCCTGCGCACCCGTCAAAGCCACACATCCTATCTTGACTATTCCTGCGTTCCTCTCCATCTCTACCGAGCTCGATCATCACTACGTTCAAACGGGCTTGGTTCTGCACAAGTTGCTTTATTATGCAACAGGCATACAGACTCTGCCTTTGCGGACCACCACATACACAGCAATATCGCCTCGATCACCAGCTGGGCTGTTCCCTTCATAGCGAAGCCAAGGAGTGGACGGTCCCCCATCCCCCACCATCATGCCGGCACTTCTACCTCTACCCACAGATTACCAGGCGTTCAGTGCCGTTCCCGGGCACACGGCAGCGAGGGTCAAAGTCGCTCAGCGACGGCCATTCCGCATCCGTGGATCAACTTAGATTTGGTTGTGGCCATCCCGTCACCATCCCATCAACCACTCAGTGACATTCATGTTTTGGAATGTTTCCAACTCGACGTGACTTTAGCCGACGGCGGCTGACGGGCGAGATTTCCGCCAAAATACCTACAAGCTACAACAGCATCGGTTGGCCGGGTTTCTTCTCCCTGTTGCCTCACCGCATCCTGGCCCGATTTCGCAAACGAAACTCTCGTTAACCCAAAAACTACTCGCTAGGTGGCGCTTGTGGTTTCCGCCATTCGTCACTTGTCTCGGTTCGCTGAAGCTAGTCATGGGCCTGCTTAGAGCTCTGCTGATGAGCAAACTCGGCCAATACCACCAACAAGGCAGAGCAGAGCACTTGCATACCGTTCGGCTGTCTGCTGCATAGCTCGAGGTTGTCGGCACCTTTCTGACCATACGCATCGCATCGTGAGAAAGTCATGGCTGTCCTGGGGATCACACGGAATGGATGAATGCACATCGTCATCACCGATCGTCACCTCGTTGTTCCCCCATACGCCCACATCGCTGCTTACCTCAGGTTGGTACCATCACCTCAGATGCATAACCGCCCTGTTTGGGAAACAAACACAGTTTTTTGCTTTTTGTTCAACAAGCGCCCGGCGAACCAGACGAGAAGACAAGTCCAGCAGACCTAGACTGCTAGCCCGCCATCCGACCCAACACAGCCGCTTTGCAGTGCTCGTTACCCCTGTGCCGCCGACTATACAGTGTACCAGCAAGTGACTTGTCTCTTTCATGTCTCTCGTTTTGCTTAGGTCGCCGACCCCCAAACCATCGAGGATTATAGGTAGCAAACGCCCACCTATTGTCTACCCCCCTCGGCTCACCAGTACCTATCAACCACCAAACTCTCGCACTCTGCCACACACCGACGCCAACGAAGTCAGGCTCGAAGCATGCTGGCTCGCTCGACAGACGCCCTCACCGCTCTCCACGCCCCCAATCACACGATCGACGCACAAACACACAGACACCACCACACCGCACCGGATGCCTATTCCCTTGGCCGCCTGTTTATTGGCCAAGCTGACATCCGCCCAAAAGCCTCAAATCACGACGCTAATAGCCTGTCTTGCTTTTTTGGGCGCCTCCGACTCCCGTCTCCCCTATTCGCGGTCAAATGTCTCGCCTGCGTCCGTCCCTTTTTAAGCTTCTGTCGCCCTTTCCTGAGCGGCAATCCGATACCAGGCGGAGGACGGACCTCATATTCCACAGACCCTGCTCATTGAAGGCTGAAGGCTTACCAAAATAGGACTTACGTACCATCACCTTTTCCCTATAACCAACAACCTATCCTCTCCCATAAATCCTGGCCATCTGACGAGAAAAAGCACATTTGCATCTCCCAGCCATATCAGTAGTCAACTTTCATCCTGGTCCATCCACGACTGGAAGCTTCCCTCGCAAGATCGTGGCTCGGGTAATCGCCGTAACCAAAGTTATACCTGTTTTCGGTCATCGAGGCAAACAAAGCACCACGGAAACAAAGTTTCGCCCACTGATCTACGAATATCCGACTCTTGAAAAGGCTGGCCGATCACAAGCGGGGGATCTACGGAAATCGAAGCGAGCGTTACACATTGCAGGGAAGCTGAATGACGGGCCAAGAAACGAGCACATCGCAGAAACCCGCAGTTGGACAAGGACAAAAATCGAGGGGTATACAAGCAGATTCGCAGCTTCATCGCCGACTTTTTCAACGCCAACATCAAGCACGAGGGTTGTCTAAGTGGTCAAGATCATATCATCATGAGGAATCCGAAGCCTCCCACGTAAAACGAATCATCCCGCCGACTCCCAGGTTACGTCCGGTGTCCAGGAAACCACAGCCGTCATGGCACCGTGGCCCCGCGCACTGGACAACATTGGTGCATCACAATCACCAGCTGCGTCGCCGCCCGAAGTTATTAGCAGCCGTATAGATACGGCTTATACCCGCATTCCCGATGGGTTGACCGATCACCAGTGGACGATTATTCAATCCACGTCACTTGCTGCCGCTGCATTGAGTTTTGCGTCTGTAACCTTCGCCTTTTACTGGTTTTCTCGGAGGAGGCGAAGCTTCAGACATGAGTGAGTAACGGTCACTCGGGGGTGCATGGCCATCGCTGGATCAGGCTATTCGCACCAAGACGGAAAACGGGCATTGTGCTGACAACTTAACAGTCTCATTATGCTGCTCATGTCGAGTGACATGCTGAAATCGCTGTGGTTTATCATATTCCCGATCGTCGACTTCAAGAGTGGTCCAGTTGCCTCGAGCTCGTCATTCTGCCAAGCCAGCGGCTTCTTCCTTGCAGTCGGCATAGAGGCATCGGACATTGCTGTTGTGCTCATCGCTTTGCATACGGCCATTTACATCTTCAGACCGCGGCATTCCGGGCGACAGAGTGGATTGTACCCCCACCGTCGTCTTGCCTTCGGCGCTTTTGCATTCTTTCCACTTTTGATGGCTTCATTGGCGTTTATCAACTGGCCCGGCTACGTCAACAACGGGGAGTACTGTTACCTACCCGCCCGCCCCGAATGGGCAAGACTCGCCCTGAGCTGGGTTCCCCGCTACATGATCTTGCTCACTATTGTTGCGCTTTACGCCTATATCTATATCTATGTCACTCTTCGCATGCGGCGTTTCGGTCGACTCAGTGCCATGCGACGTGCGAGTGCAACTCATATGCTGGACGACGGGCAGTGGGCCCATATTCCATCGGTGCCAGCCACCCCAACATCACGGCGCGGGTCGGAAACCTCGATGGAAGACTCGGATCAGCAACGTACCTCTTCCACAAACACTACTATGACCGCCGAGATTGAGCTTCTTCACAGCCGGCAGAAGATTCAATGGAACTGGCCGAGCTATGGAAACGAGAACGATGGCCGCATCCCGGAACCCAATGACAATGTCTCTCCCCGTGCATTCGAGGCCAGCACAAGTCCGCTTTCCACCAACTTTGAACCAATTTCACCTCCTCCGCAGAGCTACATACGCCGCGATACGGTCGACTTGAACCCGCCCCAGATACATTATGATCACGGGAGCTTCAGTACCCAGTGGCAACCACCCAGCAGCCCAACAAGCGCTCGAGCCAAGTCGCTCGCCAACATCTGGTCAATCCTCCGTCGAGGCACCTCCCTCGACTCTGACACAGACCACAACAATACTCCCTTTCTTTACCATCCTACTATTGACGGCACAGGGATGGCAAAGACCCGCGATAAGATTCGTCGCCAACTAAGACTACTTTTTGTTTACCCACTTGTATACATACTCATTTGGGCTGTTCCTTTTGTCGCCCACGTCATGCGCTGGGACAACCCAGAGCAAGCCGGCCCCTTCGTGGTTGTGCTTTTATCACTTGTGAGCCTGTCAATACAGGGTCTTGTTAACGCATGTCTATTTTGTGCCGTAGAGAAGCCGTGGATTGACACGCAAGCCAGACATCGGAGGACGCCGTCAAAATTACGGCGGGATAAAGACGAAGCCCGGCAACGGGCAGGAAGGAGAACATCATTAGCGTAGTCATTTTTCGCCTTGATACCACATGAATTGAATGAACAAATATCATTACCACACTACATAAATATTTAATCAATTTCTATCATACTTTATGCTATGCTCGGCGGTGGGAGGTTCATTTATCGGTAGCATCGGGGATGCGGACCCACAAACTCCGTCCCAGGAGGCCTGCACGCACGGCAAGTTCGGTCCTTCGGCCCCACTAGCGCCGTAGAAGCTGAAGACCGAAGCATGCAATGATGCCGACATGTTTGCGACAGTGGTGAGACGTCCACCCAGGTTGCGTATGTCGGCACAAGAAAACGCCAAGTTTGTATATAAAGATGTCCGACGCGAGAAATCGGCGAAGGATCGAATAGGATTGAATACGAGAAGTCTATTTTTTGAAAAGCAGTCTATGTGTCATGTGAGCTATGAGACGATGGCTGAAGCTATTCCTCAGGTCTCCTGAGCTCCTTTTTGGAAAAGAATTCCCTGGCCGCCCCTCTAGCTTCTCCCTTTCCCATGAAAAGCTCTCGTTGCCTCTATGAATGGCATCAAGCTGTCCTTTCCAGGCTCACATTCCAAGCTCTCCTTTCCAAGCGCACTACTTTCCCATCCAGTGTATGTAAGATTCAATCACCTTGCCAGAATAGACTAATCTCCCTATTTCGCAAAATCTCGGTGTGTTCCAGGATGCACAAGTTTGGCTGGATTTATTCCGAGAATATATGGCACCTTCTCGTGATGCGGTCGAAAAAGCAAGTTGTAAAAATCAAAATCGTACGTCGCAAAATTGAAAAGAAAACGAAATGCTGCTTGCATCATGTCGCGCCGTGTCGTATGGGCGCAACTCCAACTCTGATTGCGGTCCATGTGTGTGGTAATTCTCAGTCGTGGAGCTTCACTCCTCTTCTGATTCGTCAGAAAGGGAGCCCATCCGCTCCCGAATCGCCAACCTGCGACTCTCCAACTCCTCATCTTCGTCGTCGGGAACAACGAAACCTTCAAGGTCTTCCTCTTCTTCCTTATCAGAGTCGTCTTCGTCGTCATCCTCTCTGTCGCTATCATCCTCATCGTAGTCAGCCGAGACGTGGTGGATGACTCCGTCTCTCATCGTGACTCTGCCGAGAAGGCTAGCTATATCCTGGAGGCTAATCTTGGGCGCCCTGGTCGTGTCGTCCTGAAGTGCAGCGTCAATGGAGAGGATCTTGTCAGCCTGCAACTGCAGCATGCGCTGCTCAATCGGCGTATCGACGATGAAGCGCACGAAGTGGGTTTCCTTGATCTGACCGATGCGGAAAACGCGGGCAAAAGCCTGCTGCTCCACGGCGTGGTTCCACCAGAGCTCGATGAGAATGACGCGATTTGCTCGGGTGAGGTTCAGACACTGGCCCCCTGCGCGAAGCGACACGATGAGCACCTTGATTTTATCGCCATTTTGGAACTCGTCAACGGCCCTGTTGCGCTGCTCGGTGGTCTGACTCCCGCTAAGGTAGGCAAAGTCGATTCCTTCCGCTTCGAGCATGCGGCCGACGATCTTCATGACGACGTTGAATTGACTGAAGACTAGAAGGCATTCAGTCAGACATCTGGGAAGCACAAAAAGTTGAGATGTGAGAGGGTACATACTAATAATCTTGTCGTCTGAGGCTTCGGCCTGCCATCTCAAAACTGTCTCCTTCAATGCCGCCAACTTGGCACTGGAGGTAAGAGGCAGACGAGGATTTCTATCTGCCACTTGCAGGAATCTGACTGCATGCTTATCATCCTTGTCATCCTCGGTATGCTGGAATCCGGTGCAGTCGAACCCTTTGGCGTACTCCTTATCATTAGGGGCCTTCGCGGCAGACTCTGCATCTCCATCGTGATTGTCGTCGAACGGCGTGAGTGGCTTCGGAAGGCCAATAATCCTGCGACACTTTGGACAATTTCTGCTCTGTTCCCCACCTGAGTTAGCAACGAAAAAGATTCTGGGGGCGCAGAAGATGTATACCTTCAGTGCTAAGTAGGACACAACGCAACTAGAGCAGAAGATGCAACCGCACTTTGAATCATATTAGCTATGCAGACTCTGCAGAAGATCATGTCGGTGCATTAGACTACTCACTTTGCCCTTGACAGGATTCACCGGGGGCTTCTTGCGACAAACGAGGCATTGGGCCTTCCTCATCTCCATGACCTTTTCCAGGTACTCGAGTTGCTTAGACATGTCAAATCCCAGACCGAAATCGCTGCGGCCAAAAGGCCGGAGCCGATCTTCTTCCGCATCGACATCTGAGGACGCTGCATTCTCTGGCCCTGCTCCGGGAATGAGAAACCTCTCCGGTACTAGGCCATCCTCATCCTCTTCTGCCTCGTCTTGGCTGTCGACTTCGTCGCTGTCATCGGCTATCGTGATGATACCCTCGCCGGCCTTGAACTGGGGAAGACTTCTGCCAGCGACATTGCGGTGATCTGGCTCTATAGTCTGGCTATCGTAAGCGTCGAGTAGCTCTTTGCTGTCATCCAGAATCTGTTGCTGGCTGCGCCGGTATGTTTCCTCAATGACCTCTCTGATGCGCTCGCTGGCAATATGGTGCCTCTGAGTCCAAGAGCCGATCTGGTTGTAGATAGTGCTACCGCCTTTGAGGTCCTTCAGTTGTTTCCGGGTTGCTTCCAAGTCACGCTGAGTGAAATACTCTGCCATCATTCCTTCGAGCAAGAAGGGGTGGGTAGAAGCCTGGCGCAATCGAAGTAGCATGACGAGATAGCACCTCAGCTGTCTCGAAGCCTCCCCGGTCTCGATGTCGTGATTGATTTTCCGCCGGAAGCATGCCTCCATCATCCTGACCACTATCAACAACTGAATCGTTCCTGAGGAGCGTTTTTTGACTCACCTGAATATAACCATTTCTTCCTTCGAGAGTATGAGATACTGATGAGTGGGATTGGTAGTAGGCAGGTTCAGGATTGGTTGACCCATGAAGTAATCGCCTTGAGTTCTGATGGAATGGATAAGCCTACAGTTCTTGTAGTTTCAGGGTAGTGATGTTACCTTCTGTACATAACCTCATAAATGAGTTTATTATGCTTCACTCGGCTTTGAGTCTGATAGAAGTCAGTATTTCCACCTACTCATACTTCTTTAGGAAAAATGCCTACCCCTGGGCGATACTCCTTCTCGTAGTTACTGAACTCCTCAATTCCGTCGCATCGAATGAATTTGAGGTAGGAAAAGAACTCTGTGAGCTGTGAGAAGTCTCTCCTGTCATCTGACAACGATATTTTAGACTCACCAGTAGCTGCATTGATGAGCGGTGTTCCGCTAACTGCCCAGCGGTGCTTGGCTTTGAGTTCGAAGCACGAGAATGCAGCTGGAAATTTCGGAAGTTAGCAAGTGAACTTGGACAATCAGTCTCCAGCTCCTTACAGTGAGTGAGGTGATGTTTGATTGCATGAGCTTCATCAAGCACCACGCGGTGCCACTCAATTTGATGCAAGACGCCGGTGGACTCTTGCAGCCACTCCTGATATTTCTCTGGGTCAACAATCTTCGTCAGCATTTCAAGCCTCTCCTTGGCATGAGGGATGCTATCCCGGATTTGGTGGTAGCTAGCGAACCTGTGAACAATCATCAGTCTACAAGGAGCACACACGTTGCTGCACCATACTCACACCATGTTGAAGGAAGATAACTGCTCAATATCCATCTTGTTACCGATTTTGAAATGGATGATGTTCTTGGAGAACTTTTTCTCGCAGTGCTTCTTGACCTCGGACATCCATTGACTAATCATCTGTCCTGAGGGAACAACCACCAATGTTGCTCCCTTCCCTTCTTCTTGGAGCATCTCCGACGCCTGGTTGCCCACAATGCAGGAAAGGGTCTCGATGGTCTTTCCTAAGCCCATGGCGTCAGCAAGAATGCCTCCTCTGGGCAGTTTGGGCGTCGCCTTGAGCTCACGACCCATCATCCAAGCGCCAACAATGAGTTGATGGTGGTGCATCAGAGACTGCAGGCCTTTGACCTCCCAGAAGCCGTCTTTGGCGCGGACAGCGCGCGGTCCCCAAGCTTTGGTTGCTTCCAGAAGCTCTCTTTTCTGCCGATCTAAAAACTTGGGCTCAAAGTACTCAGGTGCAGATTCTCTCATCTTCTTCAGTTGGTCTGCTCTCGTGGTCGCGATGATGACTGGAGCAGCTGTCAAGTCACCTGCTTGCGCTCGTTCCTGGATCGCATCTGTTGGACGAAGCAGCGCTTCTATCTGGCGCTCAATTCTTTTGTTCTCACTTTCATCTCCAGCAGTATTTGCGTTGTTCAGAGTCCTCGCGCTTTTAGTGGCGCGTGAACTGCGTTGAGATGCCCCGGATCTCTTCTGTCCTTTCGCATCGCGGTTGCGGTCCTTCTCTTCTTGTCGAGCCCAGTACTCTGCCGCACTTTTGATGCGAGGGTTCGATTTCTTCTTCGCTTTCTTCTCATTGCCTTCAACTGATGCTTGATCCATATTGGCTGGAGGGAAGGGTACCGCCATTGGCGCTTTGTTGCTGGTCTTCACTTCTTCTTGAGCCTGGCTGAGCTGAGTGATGATCTGGCACATCTCTGATAATTCTTCCGTACTCAGAGCACCTTTGAGTGCTTTCGATTGCAACTCTTCCTTCCTCTCTTCTAATTCCTTGACGAAAGACTTGCTCGTGTGAACAGAGGTGCTTTCACCGGCGAAAGCTTCTGCATCGGGCTCTTGCTTGATACTCTTGTTGATGGAACTGTGATGAGGGTGCTCTACTGGCTCTGTCTTGACCATTGACGATGGAGTAAGATCAATTGTCCATGGGCCTCGTGGCTTGGACCATTCCTCTCGCGCTTTTGATGATGCTTCACCCTGGTCGATGATCATTAGATCAAAGTCATCGTCAGACTCCTCAGACTTGATGGGCACAGCGGCTTCGTGCGAGAGCTCAGCGTTCTGAACTCGCTCATCTCTGAAAACAAAAAGATCGTCCATCTCGTTGTTGCCATGGTATGACGAAGTTGCAGCCTTTCCACTGTCTTGAATGTCGCGACGACATTCCTCGATCATGTCTTCTATAGACTGATCGAAAATGTTTGGCTCTGCTTGTGGGGCAATTGCTGGGCGAACTCTGCCTTCCACCGGACCATCGTCGTCGTCGTCGAAACAGAAAGGCTGTTTCTGGCGCTTGGCGCCCTTTGCCACTGCATTTCCAGATTCGAAGCTGCTCATGATGAAGAGCTTCGGAGTGCCGCAAGTGCAAGATGTAGGCGAAACTTGGAGGTTTGAGGCTTAGAATAGTGACCGAGTGACGGCGATGGAAAGTAGCCAATGAACGATGAAGTAGAGCTACTTAGCGCTGAGAACTTGGAACTCTCGAAGGGTCTGACTAGAAAGGCAGTAGCTACCCAAGCCTTTAAGATCAGTCAGGTAGGGTAGAGGAAGGTAGTACGTGTGTGTGAGAGAGATAGAGAAGAGATGTATGAGGGAGAAGATGTGTGAGGGAAGATATGTGTGAGGGAAGAGATGTGTGAGGGAGGGATGTTTGAAATAAAGATGTATGCGAGAAAAAAGGTAAAGCGAGGAAGTAGGAAGGTGCTGTAAGAGTCTTTCGGCTACGAAAGCGCGCCCGAGATGGCAATTGGTACGAACCTGCTCAATAGTTTCTTGAAGTTTGGATATGTTTTGACGAGGACGTGCTGAGAAGAGTGTAATGAGTTGAAGAAATCGTGTCAGGTACTGCAAGATGAAAATAAGAAGCTCAAGATGTTGGAGAAAGAAGGATTGGGTTTCGAGGTTAGCAGTGGCGGGGAGAAGCTGAAGAAAAGAAGACTCGAGAAGGGTGAGGTTGTAAAAGAGAAGAAAGAGGTCTTCGATGGAGGGGGTAAATGAGGCAGGTAGATTTTGATAGTATTCAAGGAAGGAAGGAAGGAACAGCGCGTAGTCCGTAACTCTGAGATACCAGCCATCCTTCCCAGACAGAGGTAGTTGCGATTTTGGTTTGCTCTTGTGCCGAGGGACTGGAGGGACTGAAAGCGGCAGGAGCTCTAGGCATGTTCAAGATGGATTGCTGCATAGTTCAGGTCAAAGACATGACAGGCTAGGGGAGTGAGAATGGTATCTAAAGCAGTCGCTGATCTATTGGGGTAAATAACTATAAACGACGATGTATCATTCTCTAAGGAAGCGCAGGAAACCACGAGCGATATTGACACCGTCGTGCTCAATGTTCGCGCGGTTGATGGCATCAGTAAACATCGCCTCGTCAAAAATGCCAGCCTTGTGGCGAACGTTGAGGATCTCACTGACGATGGGGCCGGTGAACTCGGGGTGGCCCTGGACAGTGATGAACTTCTTTGGTGAGTAGAACCCCTGGACGGGGCACAGCTCCGTGTATGCCAAAGACTCAGCGCCCGCCGGGTTCTCTGTTACGACATCGCGATGCATTTGGTGGATGCGCTGTGACATGTCAATACTTGTCCACGCAAAACGACCGCCTTCACTCGCGCCGAGTTGAGGGACGGAAGGTCCGGGTTGAAAGCTTACCATCTTCTCCAGCTGGAAAATCTCCTTGCCCTTGGGCGTGAGGTTGACATCCACAACGGCAACCTCCCAGCCGAGGTCGCTCCTCTTGACCTCGACACCTAGTGACCGTCCGACGATCTGGTGGCCGAAGCATACTCCAATGACTCTCACGCGCCCGCTGTCGATGCACTTCTTGGTGAACTCAACCAGCTTCAAGATCCACGGGTCGTTATCGAATGAATTGTGCTTGCTTCCGGAGATGAGAATAGCGTCGATGGAGTCTAGGTCTGGGTAGACGGCATCATCGCCGACGGCGTGGTATACTGAAAGGTCGACGATGCTGTCGAGCGGTGCAGGCGGATCGCTGGCCAAGGCGGCGGTGCGCAGGAGTGCGGTGAAGACACCGCCATATCCGCCGTATTCGGCGTTGGTCTGAGGCTGCGGTGTATCGGCCTCGAGGATGGCCAGACGGATGCGAGGTGGTTGAGAGCCCATGTTGAGTCTGATTGAATGAGTTTATGTACAGGATAAGGAAGGAGATGTTGCAAGGATGAAATTCAAGTTGTTGTTGTAGAATGAGACTGTGTTGTTATTTACGACGAATGACAATGAAGCCAGGGGACAAGGCAGAAGATGAAGGAATCGTGAGAACAAAGCACGGAAGCAAGTGACAGGTGGTGGCTGTCCAGATGCCGGCGCCCCGACCGCGGTCCCGCGGCGATGGTGGGGTTCACGCGGGTCGCGGTTGAGTCAAGTGAAAGGCGCCCACCCCAAGCCACCTGAGTGCCCCGCGATCCGATAGCGGGGGGAACCTGCGGCGATAAGGGACCGCGCTATGGATAAGATAGCGATAAGACAGAGCACCGTTGAAATCCACAAAAGTCAATTGGACCGCCGGTCCCCCAGACTTACTACCGTACGTATCTTAGCTGAAGGGACCTTACGCTGTGCAACGTTCCGACGTCATCCCCACCACCACCACCAACAGCTCCAAGCTGCGAGGACCGCGCCTCTTGATACTCCCGCGGCAACCTGCATATGCAGTTCCCCATGCGTTAATACCACCAACGCTCGAAGCCTTGTTCCAATAAACCTACCTGTTATAAGTCTTCTGTTTCAATGCCTCCAAGGGTCTCCCTCGGCGCTTTCCTCGCCAACGCGAGATCAGCCCTGACAGCTCCGCAACGGGCCAGTCCCTTGACGTTGGTCGTCGGCAACGAATCTGCAGGTACGAGAGACACCCAAGGCTTGGCATTCCTCTATTCATGTGTAAACAAGCTGACGATTCCCTTATTCGCACCCAATAATCAGACCTCGACTCTCTCTGCTCCGCCGTCGTATACGCCTACCTCCGCAGCCATGCTGCCCCTCACACGCTCCACATCCCCATCTCGAATCTACCCCGCGATGACCTCAAGCTCCGTCCCGAGATGACGGCTGCCCTGGCGCACGCCAAGCTTAAGCCGAGCGACTTACTCACCCTCGATGAGATACCGCAAGACCTCGCCGCGAAGGACTCCAGATGGGTTCTCATCGACCACAATGCCCTGACGGGAGACCTCGCCAAGAAGTACAGCAGCAGTGTCGTCGGCTGCGTAGACCACCACGCCGACGACCACAAGGTTCCCCAAGACACGGGCGACGAGCCCCGCGTCGTCGAGAAGTGCGGGAGCTGCGCGAGCTTGGTGGTGGAGTACTGCCGCTCAGCATGGGAGGACCTCGCAAAGTCGGAGGACGGCGGTAGCGAAGTGGACGAGCACCTGGCCAAGCTTTCGCTCGCAGCAATCCTGATTGATACCACGAACCTCAAGTCCAAGGATAAGACGACGGAAAAGGACACCAGCGCAGTCTCCTTTCTCGAAAAGTTTACGAGCGGACGCGACGCGTTCTTTGACGAGATATCTGCCGTTAAGGAAGACATATCCTCGCTGGGATTCCGCGACGTATTCCGAAAGGATTACAAGCAGTGGGAGGATCTCGGCGAAGGGTTTGAAGCGAGCAGCCGCCATCAGGTCATGGGCGTGTCGGCTATTGTGCAGAATCTGGACTATCTACTCGACAAGGCTGGCGGCGATGATAGTGTCCTGCTGGGCGAGTTCAAGGAGTGGGCCAAGGAGAAGAAGATGGATGTTGGGGTCATCATGACGACTTCACACCCCGGCGGGAACTTCCAGAGAGAGCTTCTTTTGTGGGCCTTCAACGAGAACGCTGTCGAATACTGCAAGAAGTTTCATCAAGCATACAAGGATGATCTGGGTTTGGAGAGCTGGGCCGATGGCAGACTCGATGAGGTTGGTGCAGGGGAGTGGAGGATGGCCTGGCATCAAAAGAGTCTGTCCAGCTCTCGCAAGCAGGTTGCGCCTATGCTACGGCAGACGATCAAGGGCGGCACCAAGCTTTGAGACAAAGGAGATATATTACATAGTGCGGCACTCAAACATGAAGCATGGAGTTATCATTCGGCGGACTGCATTGGCTTGGGACACGTTACGCAGGGTGTAGACAGGCAATCCCCATTCACCCTCGAAAGGCGAAATAGAGTTGTGATGGATGGCTAGCAACTAAGTATCTGTAAATAATGGCACTATCCATTTCAAAATTCATCGGACTATTCCTTATATCGAAAACAAAGCGTGGAAGCACGTTGGGTTTCGAAAGAGCAAGTCGTAGAGTCAAACAGCAGTGGAACTCCCAGTTGCTGCCTTATAGCCTAATATCAAAATCGAAAAGGTTGATATAAACCACAGTAACAGCGTTTTCAGAAAATGAATCTCATCATGTGGTCTCAAAGTAGACCAGTAACCATCATCATATTATGGATTATCTTGTTTGGCCTGGACCCGCTACATCATCATTCATCATCTCAAATTTCATTGGCTTTTGTCATGCCCTTGGTATATCCAAAAGCACCTCATCTCATCCCGACCGTGCTGCTTCAAGCAAGCTGAGCAACAATTGCATCCAGCCACTTTGCAAGTCTATTAAACATTAGTCTCTCAACTTCATCCAAAAAGCAAAAGAACAAGGGACGGAGCTTACCTGTAACCCTGCTTGGCAACCTGCATACTAACAGTAGGCTGCGCATTGGTCGTATACGCGCCACTAATATCCTTACCCTCCACAGCCTCACGACCATCCGGCAGAACGACAGAGCACACAAACTTGTTACTCTCCGTCGCCCACGCGAGCGCCTGGGACTCGGGGTCCTCGAGGCTCAGCCCGCCGATCCAGCACTTTGACGCCGTCTTGAAGTCGCCCGAGCTGATCTCGGTGCTGAGCTTCGAGGCCCACGACTTGGCGACGGCCAGCACGCTGCTGCCCGTGCCGGTGATGGACTGCGGGATGTTGGTGTCCCACGCGGCGTGCAGGTTCGTGCTGGACCCGTTGAACTCGACGGCGATGCCGTTGCCGCCGAGCTCGAGGTTCTCGCAGTGCAGGGGCTGGCCGATGTCGCCGGTGAAGTGGATGACCATCTTGGCGGCGATCTGGCGCTGCTCGAGGGAGAGGGCGGGCTGCTGGAGCAGGCGGTTGGTGTAGTTTGCGTGGGCGGAGACGATGCAGCCCGTGGGGCCGCAGTCGCGGTCGAGGTCGATGCCGCACGAGTGCGGGGGGTCGTCGAGGGCGTCGATGTAGTGGAAGGTGGAGGTGAAGGCGCCCTCGGTGGTGTAGCGGTACGAGTCGGCCCAGCTGGCGACGTTGGCGAGGTAGTCGTCCGTGGTGTCGGCCAGGAGCTGCTGGAAGTAGGTCTTGGTCTCGGGGGCGACGAAGTTGGTGGCGATGTAGGCGATTGTCGCGTGGCCCATGGAGCCCCAGGCGAGAGCGGCCTTGGGCAGGGCGGCGGCTGCCAGGAGGGTGAGGGGGGTAAGGCGAGCCATGGCTTTTTGTGCTGTGGGATTGCTACTTTGTGACAAGAGTGAGAGACGAGGTGAGGAGGAGGAGGGCAAGGAAGATGGATATGAAGGGCGGGAGATGTGTCCTTGGCGAGCGGGAAGAGAGGAGGAGAATGTCACGGTAAGGGAGCGAAGCGGGTTATATGTAGCATTCTGGAGACTCGAGGTCCCTTCCGGCCCACGTGTGGCCAAGACCGGCGCGCATTAGTCCACTTCCATGATCGATGTATGTTCCATGGAGGCGGTAAAGGGAGTGGGATAGGCTGTGTGTTGGCACGGCAAGACAGGCGAGGCGCGGGAAGCAGGCCTTGGAGGCTGGGTTGGTGATGCAGCATTTTGCAGACAGCGACCCCATCGTGTTGGCCCTCCTGCTTGTTCGGGCATCGCGAGCTTCACATAAGTACCGGGCTAAGGTTAACCTGGAGCGTCGATCTAGACTGCGGAGGGCGTTTCCCAGACGCTCATTGGTCGACAAGATCCGAGTTGCACAGCTTTGCAATCAGACACTGCCATGCTATGCCGATATCCGGGCGCGAAAGAGAGAGAGAGAGAGAGAGAGAGAGAGCGGAGAGTCAGAGAGTGGGAAACGTCTGCGTGTGATGGACCAGGGGTCGGGATACAACCGGCATGTTCAGACGACGCAGATTGACTGGCGAATGCCATCTTCTCATTACTCACCCGTGTCACCGCGACTCGGCTGATTGTTCAGATGCTTCTCTCCAGCAAGTTGAGGCGGAAACGCTGGCGCATTGAAGTTGGATTACACCTGCATTAGTGCCGAGGTGAAGTGGGAATTAGGAAAAAAATAAAATAAAAATTGTGTCAATGTCAAATGATAATAAGGTAGACTCCGATCCTCCCCCGCAATCCTGCCGGGCTCACCCAGAGATAAGACGGAGCACTTCCCGAATAAGAAGGTCTGGGATTAGAGCTCGGGGCGGGCTGAAAAGAATTTCATCGTCACCAACGCCGGAGGAGGCGCGTTGCAGAGTCGCATTACCCATTCGTGCAGGTCTTTAGACGAGTGAGATATTTTGTAACATGGCCGTCTATCCGTAGTTGGCGTTGTTGTTATTACAGTATGGTACATTTGAAGTTTGCTTTTGTGTTGAGTGTTGTACATGTAGAGGTGAAGCCTCCATCTCTGCCGCGTCTTCCGCAGCTTCATTGCTGAGTCGATATCACAATCGGTCAACATCGGTGAGCGCCGAGTTCCGCCATCGGACCAGAGACGCCCTTGTTTGCAGGCGCACTATCTCGCCAAGAACATGTCCCCTGCCGTCACCCGTGCCGTTGACGTATTCCGCTTTGGATCTTAAAATCTTAGCTTGGAGATCGATTCCAGCTTCCATGTGAAAGGTCTCAAGCGTTCCTTCGCAACGCCTCGAGCTCCTTGAACATCTTGACAAACTCCAACTCGACAGTCTTCTTGCCGTCGCTGGCCACTTTACTGCCGGATACCATGTGAGCGCTGATGTGTTCCGCATTGGGGTCGGCCACACGGATGCAAGCCTTGATATCGGGCCAGATCGTTTCGTCTGGCAGCACTGGCGGCTGCTCAAGAACCATCTCGGGTACACATCTCCGGAGGGCGTCGATGCTCAGAGACCTCCTGTTGATGTGCGCAAAGATGTGAAACACTTCCCGGTATAATGCTGACCCTCTGCGTTCGCTGTACCGTGGGGGAAGACTCCAAATCTCCCAAAATTGATCCATGTTGCGTTGAACGGCATATGCTCTGAGAAGACGTACGAGTTGCGCTTCCGAGGGACAAGATTGCATGCCCTTGAGCATTACAAACTCCAAGTTACTTTGGATGCCCCGCAGCTTTCCTTGCTCAGGTCCGCCTCGCGCAGGTGATGTTGCGATCGCCTCGATAATTGTCGTGAGCATTTCGTGGTCCATGACCGGCATTTGCCGTTGGTGCATCGTCTCAATGACCTTGGTGGCGAGGTCCGCCTGGTCCTGGCCCTGATCCCCCTCCGCTGTAGGCGCCTGAAAGATGCCCCTCAAGAGCCCTAAACAGTCCTCGACCTTCACTTGCTCCCCCTCCGACCGGACTTTATCAATTCGCTGGCGATATTTGTTCAGCGGGTCTGTGACGGGGCTCGAAGTTGCTGAAGGAGTAATACCTGCGTCTTTTGCGCCCACAGCCGCCTGCTCGGTGTCTGTCGAAGGCCGAGAGAGACTTGTGGAGAAGTTCCTCCTCTGCGACGTGTTTGCGTAGTTGGGTTTCCGCGCTCGGATCGTGGTTGTCGGCAAATCACCGTATCGGTTGTGGTAGGAAGAGTCTTCGTCGGCCAGTTTGCGTTCTTGAGCCTCGCTTCGTACGAGCTGCTGGCTCCATAGTCGTTCGAGGTCTAGTTCGTTACGCCGAGACTCGGTCATGACCTGGACAATAATGGTAGATCCAGTAGCTGGTCCACCAAAGCCAGACATCTTGCCTTGCGAATCGAAGCGTTCGCTTTCGCTGTATGTGGATCCGCTGGTACCGAGGTTGACGCAGATCCACCCAGTCGAGATTCCATCGTCGCCGCCCTTTGCAACCATGGCACTCGAGCCGAGTAGCTTTGCCTTCCTCCTCATTCTTCGTAGCTTTGTCTTGAGCTCGCCCGGACCAATCAGCCCATCCGCGTTTGCCTCAATCTTGTGGTGAAAACGGAGCCACTTCACTAGCCGGGAAGCCGAGACGTGCAAGTGTCGCTCGCTTCGCGACGTTGCAAAGAGCATGAGAAGGTTGGGTCCCAGAGCAGGTGGCGGGTCGAGGGCGCGCAGGTCGAGGAGAGAGAGGTCATCGAGTCCCATTTCTTCGTAGACATACTTCAATAGAGGCTCGAGGATAGGAGGTGGGTTGCTCGGCAATTCGGGTAACGGTGACACATCTTCTTTCGGTGGATGTATAGGCGCCTCGACCTCGAGGAACCATGGCGTTTCTTCTTTTTCGCTAACAAGTTGGTCGCCGATATTCTCTCCAACCTTTGCTTCAGCTTCGGGTGCTTGGGCAGGAACTTCGCTTGGCGTCTTGGGTGCCTCGGGCAGGCTCGAGAAAGCTCTTTGCAGGTTCCGAGGTCGCAGGCTTGCGGTAGTTGTGATGGCGGGAGCTCGAAGAAAGGTAGCTGAGCTGGAAGTGACGGCTCGTAACACAGTGTTGCGACACTGGAGACAGCCCAAAGCTGCAAACGCAGGTCGGGAGGCCATCTTCGCTTTAGCTTGCTGCACTCCTCGGAGACTGTGGTTGAACCTGGGAGCTACCTGTCGAGAAGAATTGTTGGCAGCCAAAATTCTTGTCCTTCCAGAGCTTGGACCGTGGCGTGGGAGCGCGACAGTAAATTTTGGCGCATTACCTAATCACCCGGTAAAGTGCCCCATATTTCCGGCCCGTCGCTCCTTGAGCCGCGAACTTTGACTGACGGGAAGGTACTCCGTACTCTCAACGACGTGAAATTGCACTGCAATGGCGGTGTTCGGAGGTATCAGTTCCCCATCGAAATGGCCGTCGATTCATGGCTTACGGCACACCGTTTCAACTTGCCTCGTTGGAGCATATTGCAAGTAACTTGAATCTTTGCACTTTGGATGTGGGCAGGCACAATGGTTCTTGCCTCCCACCTCTTCAGATATAAGACGCGCGCCTGCCATGTCTGCGTACCTAAAGACATGCTTACCTAATAGATGGAGAACCTGCCCGTGCTTAGGGGGTCGTACCAACGAATCAAAAGCTCAAGAATTAACGACCAATTGGATTAGCTCTATGACCCACCGTCCCCTTTTTGAGTGGCCAGAAATTTCCATCCAACGACGTTGGCCATTCCACCCCGGCGGATGGAGTGGGACGACCCCCGATTGCCCGAGTCAAAGGCCAGGAAAAAAAGGACGGCAAAATTTTGATAGCTCGCGCCTCCTATCGACAAGCTCCCGTCCGCCCTCCCCCCCAAAACTTCTTCCTCCACCCAAAATCTGTTGCATCCGCCTTACTGTGTATGCGCCCCAGCATCGCAACGCATTAGGTTCATTCTCTGTACTTTGTAATATAGCCACGTTCTTTTCATACTCCTTTATACTTAATGCACCGATACCTCTCCTAGATCTTCAACAGACTTCCTGTTGTTGTAACGACGTCACTTACCCCGGTCTGTCCTTTCGTCGCGTGAGCTTTCAAGATGCTCCTCAGGAACAGCCGGAGAAGTCTTTCCCTCCACCACGCCACCGTCTTCCGACCTTCTCGACCGACACCAAGATACCCATTGACGACGATAAACGCGAGCGACAGAAGCAGACGTCTTTTTGGCACACAGAATGATGGACGGCCCACGGCGAGAAGAGGTAGCCTCAGCGGCGGGCGGAATCTTGCCACCGCCGTAGATGACCACCAGTCCATCGCGAGCTCCAACTACGACAGACTGGACAGCTCTGTCCTGTCAGCATATCAGAACGTCTCGGCTCGCCCGAGATACCACGAGCTGCGCGCCTTCGATCCCGCCTCGCCACTGGTTCTCCAAGAGAGCAACGCACCGCAACAACCTCGGGGGAAAATCAACAATTTCGGCGTTCCTGGCGATGTAGACGAATTGTTGCCGATATTCGATGCCTGTATTCGCGTTGGAAAAGTCGATCGTGCACAAATGGTCCTCAAGCGCTTGGCTGCTGTCCCAAGCTTCCCTGGCGAAGACTTGATTTTCCTCCACAACCGATTCATCCGAGCCTCTCTCGAGCAGCTGCGCCTCCATCCCGACCGGAAACAAGCTGAGAGCCTTCACAAGTGGTACGAGTTGCACATCAACACCAGGGGCCTCCCCCAAACTGCCGAGACTATCGCTTGCATGCTCAAGGCCTCTCTTATCTCCGAGCGCGACGCCAGCAGGCGTCACCGGCTGGTTACTCGCTACATGAGACTGGCACCCGGCGAGGCGGGCTTGCAGGTCTTATCGATGGCCGAGATCTTGAGCGACCAAGACCTCGCAGTCATTACGGAAATCTGCCCCATATACAATCTCGCGCCTGAAGAAGATACTTCGGCCGCTGAAGCCAATAATGAGCACGTTGCCGTTGAAGAAAGTGAAGCTTCAACTTCCGCTTCCACAAAGCCCATGCCGCAAGTCATGGCCACACCTCAGAAAGGCTTCGGACTGAAGAGTTTAAAGCAGACTCTGAGCCTTTTCGACGAAATCCCTCAAGAATGCGACATCTCCACCCTTCCCCTTCGCGAACGAAGGGAGATCCAAGCCCGTCTCGAGCGCGACTGTGTTGACGCAGCTGTAGAGCGATGGCGCGAGGAGAACGAATCTCTACAAAAGATGGGCCTCAATACTTCGGTTGCTCATGCATCACTTAACTCCCGCTTGTACGACTGGCAACTTGCACTGGAGGCGCGACTCAAGGAGGAAATGGTCAAAATTGAGAAGTCCGAGGCTGTCGCGAAGAAGACGCCTGAAGACTACGACCGATGCGTATACGGACCCTTCTTCAGACTTTCTACGCCTAGTCGTTTGGCTGCTGTCACCATTCTCAGCACCTTGAGTTCCACTGCCATCACTGGTGTCGACCGTGGCATGGGTCTTGCTACCGCCATTAGCGGCCTCGCAAAACTCACCGAGGAGGATATTCGAAGTCAACTCGCAAGCCAGAAGGTGAAGAAGGCCGACAAGAGCAGAAAGGTCGTGATGGCTCAACCTGCAGAGGTTGCAGACGACAAATCACCAAAAGAGGTGGCCAGCAATGAATTGTTTAGCGATGAACAAGCCAGAGAAGCTGTCCTAGCCGATGCGGCCTGGCCCCCTGCGGTGAAGGC